GACATACGTAGTAAACTATGAATTTACGTTACCATAGTTGCCTATATAGACTCGCTGCAGTTTTGAAAATGGTACATCATGATCAAAAGTTTGCTGCCCGCTGATATAGGCCATGCAAACTCTTCCGCTAAAAATTTGCAGGTATGTCTTGTCTTTATTTTATCTGTAAGTGGATTTTTTTGTATATTTTGTCCATTTTTTTATTTATAAGAACCAAGACATAGTAAACAAAGTTCATTGTTACTTGATAAACTTAACTGAAGAAAGAAACAAGACAAGAAACTACAGCAAGAGATGAGGTTATAGATATGTATTAACCTCAGAGTTCTCAAGAGATCTTTACTGTGAGAAATGGATTTCATTTTGCACATCAACCAAACTAACGATCTTGTCAACCAAAATTTGAATAATAATAATAAGTGGCAACTTTGGTTGCAATAAATTGACCATAAAAATATATGATGGCAATGCTTCCGTTTTATGGGATGTCATATTGGCAACTGTATAACTTGCAAACATGTATTTCATTAAGTTGTATGATGTCAATATGTACCAAACTTCCATCTGCTTTTTATCTTAAAATGCATTGTTAATTTCCATAATTATAATGGTGGCAACACAGAAAGCCACATAGTGAGTTTTTGAAACAATATTTTACACTAAAAGCCACACTGTTAGACCTTACCAGGTTTATTACAGTAAAATACTGGCAACAGGCCAAATTCTGACACTATCATACCATTTTCCATTAAAACAGTTATATACCGTAGAAAACAAAACTAGCCTACAGGAATATACTGTGAATTAACAGCTCTCAAAGTCAACACTCAGAGACTGTGTTCCTAATCACACCCTATACCCTCATTCACTGTCTATTCCCTACATTAGTTCACTAATATAGTCCACTTGAATGAAAAGAAGTAAGTGAATTGAGACACTGATGAACACCTGATAAACAGAATCACTGAAGCACAGAGAAACAAGAACTGAGAAAGAGAAACACAAGATTTACAACTGACTTCCAGCAACACTGAGTGTGAAAACAGTTTACAAACCAGTTTAACATTATTTATTTCATACATGTACAAAAGTTCTTGTTGAGAATTAACAGAGATTTAATTAATAATAAAGTTTTGTGTCACCATAATGGAGATCAGTATTTGCTTTAGTAGGTCTCTTATCCCTGGACTTATGACATTTATCTCTCTCTGACTGCTGTAACAGTGTGTTTTAAAACACATTTGTTGTAGCAAGAAAAAGTCAAGAGGAAATTGATCTGGTGTTATTGGCTTTTGTGATGATGTCATGATCATTCTGGATATGTCTGATTTTCAGATGTTTTCCAGTTTATACTCTTAGAATAAATGGGTACTTAATATGAAACTTACATTGAGTTATGATTATAAAATAAATCTGAGAATCTACAACATGAAATCAATATGTTGGTTAATCATGTCTTCTGAATACTATTGTAATCAAATTAAACATTTAAATAATATCCTGCTAAAGTCAGACACACACAGACATCAACAATTATAATATTCATCTCAACAACGGTAACATTCAAAAGTTTCATGAAACAGTGCATGCTGGGTTCCAGGATTGTATAAAACTCCCAGCATGCACTGCTGCATGAATAAAAAAAGAAATTGCCACCATTAAGGAGATAAATGTGCTAAATTTTGATATCTTGGTGTTTCAACAACACTGTAGCGCTGTTTTGGTTTATGTATGATATGTTAAAAACAAATAGTCATAATTAATTGCTGTGGTTTTACAGTGGTGGTAACGTAACACTTTTGGTTGAGATTGAAACTCTGAATGAGTGAAAATGAATTATTTAGCAAATGAACAGACCATATGATGATTGTCATATTTTGACAAATCAAATCATTACTAAAGTGTATGTCTGCACAAGTGTGACTTGCACAAAACACAGCTCACAGCGTCTAAAGAAAATCTCATGTTACAGCGTCAGCAGACCAACTAAAGCAAACACTGATCTCTATGATGGTAACTTCAAGCCAAACATTTTTAATTAAACATCTCAACAACATCTTCTATAGATGTATGACAGAAATAAAGCCATACTGGTTAATAATAAGTGTAATAATGTGTAATAGATGAAGTCAGTTGTAGTTCTTGTGTTTCTCTATTTTCTGTTCTTGATGTTCCTCTTTCCTTCAGTGATTCTGCTTGTTAACAGCAGGTGTTCATCACTAATGCTCAACAATCACTTACATATTCCCTTAATTATCTCACTGCAACACTGCATCAATGTTAATTTTTACTCTTTGTAGTGTGGATTTTCCTGTGGGGTTGAAAGGGTTAACAGTGTAAGATAAAAATACACTCCCACAAAATGTATTTTAACAGTAATAAACTGTAAGTTATAAAACAGGTTTATACTGGCAACACTGTTGCCAGTAGTTTACTGTAAAATCTTGTTTTTTGGGTCACCGTTGTGCTGAAGAGTAGAGCCTGAGCTTCAGTCCAGGAGAAGATCTACAAACATTGATGATACGCTGCATGTTGCTTTATTTAAAAGGCACTGTCTGTATTAGTTGCAGAATCCGGTGGAAATGTCTTTATTTACAAAAGTTAATTTTTGTTGTTTCTAATTAAATAAGTTCACAATAATACCTTGCTCACATTATTAATGCATTATAAATTTAGTTGATTCTTTTAAGTTGGTTTCTGCAAGTGAAATTAGTTAACTCGAGTTTTAGTCCATTTTTACAGTAAATAACTGGCAACACTGTTGCCAGTTATTTACTGTAAAAATGCACTAAAGCTAATAAGTTTTATTTTTTTTTTTAGTTAACTCCAGTTTTAGTGCATTTCTACAGTAAATAACTGGCAACAGTGTTGCCAGTATTTTACTGTAAAAAAACCTGGTAAGGTCTAACAGTGCATATAATGTTAAGCATAAACAGCTTTTATATGATAAAGTGTCTTTCAGTTTAGCAATCAACATCAGCATCTTCCACTTTTCACTGCGTCCTCTGTGTGAGCTGATACCATCCTCACCCCAAAGTCACATTCACAACCGTTCAGTCTGGGTGGTTGTCAGGTCCATTAATCACTTGCACGGTGGCCGCAGATCTATTTGGGTGCCGTCCTCCATGCTGCCTGCCACACAACGCAATCAGCTTTCAAGAATGCAAATGTAAACGGGGGTGGTGATCTATTAGCGTGCGGTGGTGAAGGGAGGGTTATTATACTGGCTAAACGGAAGCCGAAATGCAGGACTGCCAGTCATTTATGTGACTTTTTCATTCATTTTCATATTTCTCCGTTCGCACGGTCTGAGCCATCTATCGTTCAGTGGGTTTGAAGAAAGAATCTCAATGGGGAGGCTGTAATGTGTGTGTGTGTATGTGACTGATCATGGCTTTTATCTCCTGCCTTGTTAGCCTTTGTTGCTGTCGACTTACAGTGATACCCCCTTTCCTCCCTTTCCTTTAATCCACCTTCAGTCATTTTAATGGGACAGTTTCTATAGGCTCAATAGGCTGTGGATTTATACTTCCCTCCAGTCCTTGATCAAATTGTGGTCATGGCCTGTCTGCTGGCAAATGACAGCAATCTCTTTAGACCCTCATGACTGTGAGATGACCGCTTCCACCTCAGCAATATTACTCGTGACATCTGCATTGTTTTCCTTATCATGTGCTGTAAAGAACTGTTCAATAGTAAAAATGTCTCATCAACTATTAAGTGCTGACAAATTATTACATTTTATGAGTCGTACGATTTATTTACAGACACAAAGGATATTATTTGTGTAGTTTGAAAGACCCGTGCACCCTTTTCATGCTGTGATAAACGAATGCCTCACGTTAAGCAACAAAACAGTGAAGAACATTACATGAGCCCTGGTTTCATTTGCAAGCTAGTTTGGTCAAACTAGCTTGCAAATGAAACCTGCTGAATTTGGTCAAAAGCTGACAGCTTTTTACTCCCATCTTTATGAAATCAAACTAACGGTATTTAAGGGCAAAAGGAATAAAAACTTGTAGTTTTGCTGGGAATAAAATTGTGGTGCACATCCTTAAGAAGAACATTAACTATTTACATCTTGCACTGCCAAATAATGTAAACACTTTAGTCACATAGAGGTATATTAGTTGTAATATAAGACAATAAATGTATAATATTATTTTTCACAGGGGAGAGTCTGTAAGGGGGAGATTTTCGATTATTATTGTTATTTATTTAATATTTTTAATAGTCTACATTTCCATGGTCACAATACACAATACAGTAAGTTTATCTGAATTATATTAGATTTTTTTTCCCCCAGAACTGTTTCTTTGTAGGTTTGTAATTAAATTATGATCATGTTATATAATTATGTAATTGTTAATATAATATAATATAATTTTTATTTTGAATAATATTTTGTAATATTACCCAAACATCCCCAAATAAATAATCATTTTTAAAATATGCAGTCTGGCTTTTGTCTATGTACAGTGTATGGCACTCATTCATGATGTCATTATTTCAAGGTTAATCTAGGTTTACGGTAATGGCTGCAGAGCATCTGCCGCCGTCATGAAAATAGGAGATTACAGTTGCACTTTCTAGCCCAGGGGTCATACCGTCTAATGGTCAAGGGTTAAAAGTGAGCCAGCGTTGAGGCAAGATAGAAATCCTGTCTCAGTAATCTAGTTGTCGAGAAGCTTTTTACAGCCAGATGCTGACAGATGTTTTACAATGGGATTGGCATGAATTGCAGCCCTGTGATTTGGTTATCTGGATTTAAAATCAGGAATGAAGCCAGCATTAACTAAAAGGATGCCAACATAGAGAGCAACTTTAAATATTATGGCTATTACACCATTAATTTAACTTTTTTGTGTTTTAATTTCAGTTTAATATGACTTGTTTATGCCTTTTCTCTGCTGTCGTATTCTGTTTGCATTTAGCCTCAGAATAATGCTTTTTGGCTTTAACTCCATTTGTGACTTTATGCTCAAATTGTTTCTGTGCAGCTGGTCGGTGGACAGTTTGACCTGGAGATGAACTTCATCATCCAGGAGACGGAGAGCATCATCTGCATGGTAGAGCTGCTGGAAAAATGTGACTCCACTTGCCAGGCGGAGGTGTGGAGTATGTTCACCGCCGTGCTGAAGAAGAGTTTGCGAAACCTGCAGGCCTGCACTGATATTGGCCTCATCCAGCTGGTGCTCCAGTGTATAGACCGAGTTGACACCATAGTTGCAGGTGTGTAAAGCAGGGGATGATTAAGTTGCTGACAAGGATACACATTTTGACGTAACAGTCACTCTAATAGTTGCTGTTTTACTATGTTATGGAAGTCATATAGCAGAAAAGTGGAGAAACCTTCTTTTCTGTCTATCCTATTTTAGGATACCCTTTCCCTAGTATTTTGACAGAATTCAACATACATTTGATACTTATGTTTATATTTAGATTATATTATAAAATTAATTATATTAAATTACATTAATTAAATTCTATTAAATAGCAGTAATACTGTTATTATATTATATTATATTATATTATATTATATTATATTATATTATATTATATTATATTATATTATATTATATTATATTATATTAAATATCAGTAATACTGTTATAATTTCTATATATTTTCTATATATTTAAAAATGTAATTTATTCCTGTGATGGCAAAGCTACATTTTCATCATTCACATCATTCTTGATGCATGATAACTTGATACATTTTTTCAGTGTTCTTTGAGTAGAAAGTTGAAATTAAAAATATGTGTAACATTGTAAATGGCTTCACTGCTGAATAAAAGTTTTCTGTTCTTTTTTTAAAAAAAGAAGATAAATCAAGCTTGTTAACTTGAAATACTAAATGCTACTTATGATGCTGTATAAACATGGACAACATTCTTATTCAAGTATAATTACTCTACATATTTCATGTCATATAGAAGATTTAAAGGAAAAAGTTTATTTTGGTTTTGTGGAAATACAAATCTGATCTTAAATAGTCAAAAATACAAACTGACTTCAGTAGCTGTCTCTAAATCCAAAGCCTTTTATAAATATGTCTTCAGTTGTAATGCAGAACTCCCCTTGTGTTTGTGTGTGGTGTATTTCAGATCTGATGGTGGACATGCTGGGTGTGCTGGCCAGCTACAGTATCACAGTGAAGGAGTTGAAGCTGTTCTTCAGTCACCTAAAAGGAGAACAAGGCCAATGGGTAATGGTTTGAATAAATCTCCCCTCTCCACCCCACGCAGTCATGATGCTCTGATCTCCAAGAAATAGATGATATATTTTATAAAGTACTAGAGCCGTTGCTTAAATTAAATGGAAGCGGATTCATTAATTATTTTTTGTCATGACATTCTCTGTATAATAAACTTTGCAATAATTTACTTTTTTTTAATATAAGAAATTGCACACAATTTTGTTCTCGTCCTCCATTCTAAGTGTGTCTTTAGTCTTTAGTAGATGAAGAAGACAGTGGAAAGGCAGGTGGTTTTGATGCATTATGCTGTGTTTCTGGAGGACTGGGGCAGTGCCGTTGATCAGAGCACCAAATGAACATGTCAGAGCAAGGAGAGGGCACATCTATGTGTGTCTATATCTTTTACCCTGCAGGCAGAAGCCATTATTGTGACTGTCTGATGTACTTGTTGCTGATGGACCAAATATGTCTCGGGTTGGGAAATGTTTTGGAAATTAAGATGTATTTTTAAATCAAGATGGTCTTGCTCAAGATTTGAAACAACGTTAATAAGTTTCAAAGTAACTAAACAAAATGGTATTCTGTTATTCTGTATAGTTGCAGAGTACAGTATATTTTATGTATATGTGCAAGAAGAATACTGCAGTCAAGCTACAATTATTTATTGTGTGGGTGCTTGTGTGAGTTCATTGTATGTTCAAGTTGTCTAAATACATATTTTTTCTTCTTCTATCTATCAGCCATCTCATGCTGTCAAGCTGCTGTCCGTGTTGAAGTCCATGGCTCAAAGAAATGGTCCAGATTCATTTTTCAGCTTCCCAGGGAAGAGTGCTGCGGTGAGACACTGACCCAAACAACAGCCTAACTGCATTGGCCTTAACCTTGACATCAGTCAAAACGTCTAGCTGTATACACTGTGAAAACATTTATTGTGATTTTTCAATTTGTGGAACTTTTCTGGTCCCCACGGTGATGCAAAAGATATATGCCAGACGTTCTTGTCTAGTGGCATGGCTTGTACCCAGACATTTTAACTTTCTATGATAAACTTTCAAAAGGTTTTAAAATCAGGGAAATTATACTTGGATACATTTTGAGTAATTTTTTAGGTGTACATTTTCTTTTCAAGTAATCTCTCTATTGAGAACAATTGATTATTACTTTTTTATTTATTGTGAAGTAAAACTGTTTAACACAAGTCAATATATGGGAATTACAATTTATTTGATTACTTTGAAAATGAGAATCTTTGTCAGGACAACAGAAATTTACAGTTTAAAGCTCAGAAATTAATTGTTTCATTCAGAAGGGATCAAATGGTTATATTTTAATGATTGACATATTAATTGACTTAACATTTTTTATGGTTTTGAAAGAAGTCTCTTATGCTCACCAAGGCTTGATTTATTTGATCAAACTGTTTTATATTTTAATACATTTCAAATCCAGTCACATGATTCCTTGGCAATCTTTTTAAATTTGATGCTCAAAGAAAACATAATCGTATCACAGTTGAAAAAGGTTGTGCTGCTTAATAATTTTGTGGAAACTGATTTTTCCCCCAGAATTTTTTGATGAATAGAAAGTTCAAAGCCTTAACTAATCCATTCTTTACTTTCATTTTTGGTCAATTTAATGCAGTCATAATTTTTTTTTTATCATAATGACACAAACTTTTGAATGGTATAGATGAAACATAGATTGAAGTTGAATTTTTTCATTATTTCTAGTATGGAAAACTGACCCTAATTGAATTATCACAGTTTATGTGAAAGTGTATAGCATGAGAGCTGCAACAAAATCCTTTCACTGTAAAAGTTTAGGCTCGTTTCTCCAGATTTGCTGAAACCTACCGTAGAATTATTATTATTTTTTTTATCATAATGCAAAAAAGTTCCGCAAACTTTTGAATGGTATAGACGAAACATAGATTGAAGTTGAATTTTTTTCATTATTTCTAGTATGGAAAACTGACCATAATTGAATTATCACAGTTTATGTGAATGTGTATAGCATGAGAGCTGCAACAAAATCTTTTCACTGTAAAAGTTTAGGCTCGTTTTTCCAGATTTGCTGAAACCTACCGTAGAATGATCAAGTTGTGAGGCACAAAGTCAGCAAGATTGAATAAGAGTCCCTCTTATTCACTCACTGTCTTGTTGCTTTATTTAGAATTAGGAGACGTTAAAATCTCTCTCGTTAAAAAAAAAAAAAAAATCTGAATATAATTTCTCCCCGTCTCCAAAAAGCTTCAGATATCTTTACCCAGTCTTTCACTTAGTTACCCAAGCATTTCTTTAGCTATTTAGTTTCTTTACAGGAATGTCTAACACCCACAGGAAATTGTATCTGCTTTATGGACTTTTACACTTTAGAGGAGATGAGCACCACTGAACAACAACAAAAATGTCTTGGTTTTAGAGAAATACAGTATATTCTAATTTGATTATTAAATTTACTTGTTCTTTAGTGCATCGAGAGGATTGGAGTGAAAAGCATATGTATTATTTTCGTATGGGATGCAGATGCATTTGACATGCTCCAACTGCCTCTCTGTATGTGTGTTTTTCATGCTTTTATTATAAATCAAACAATCATCAGCATGGGGGTCTTGAATGTTTTAGAGGGCATGTTTATGGAACCCTTCCTGTGTTGTCAGTGTCCACTTGAAAAGGTGCCAAATACATTCTGTCCTCTCAGGAAATAATTTGATTGGATGTTGTTTAGTTTATATGTTATTCCAGCACAAATAGTATACTGGGTTCTGGAGAAAATAACATTTGCATTTGCCTTCATTTTTCATCTGTAACCCACAAATATGACAGTTTTCAGTGTACAAACATACATAGCCATCCCTCCAAGGACACTACTTTCATTGTCGTTATTCCCCACATTCTGCACAAATGCTATATGTTCTACTTTCTTTATCTAAAATAGAACCACAAAATAAAGAAACCTAACTGGAAAAACTGTTTTTGTTTATGTATCATCAGGCTATTGCTCTTCCACCTATTGCAAAGTGGCCATACCAGAATGGCTTCACCTTCCACACCTGGCTGCGCCTGGACCCCATCAATAACATAAATGTTGACAAGGACAAGCCTTATCTCTACTGGTGGGTCACACACAAACACTTGATCACACAAACCTGTAATGTAAAATAAAACATTTTTATTGTTCAATTTTGAAGATTAGCTGACTACTATTTTTGTTGAGAAGGATGTGTTTTCCTCTTTCTCTCTGTCTAGCGTTTACTCTTCTCAAGGGCAGCGTTTTACAGCCTTCTTGTCCTATTTTCAGCTTATAATTAATTTCTGTCAAAAAATGTAATTTATGCAAATGGAGCTATTTTGACTCACCGAAAGATAATTGACCTTGTTAAAAGAACTGTAGGATTTACACTCTTCACTTTACTGAAATTAGTTCTCTACATAAACAGACCTTCTCTCATCATTTATGTATTTACATATATATACAGTAAATGGGAATTCATTTCAGAATTGCCATTACACTTAAAGGAATAGTGCACTTAAAAATGAAAATTCTGTCATCATTTACTCACCCTCAAGTTGTTTTAAACCTGTATGCATTTCTTTCTTCTGCTGAACACAAAAGAAGAATTCGGTAACCAAACAGTTGATTGATCTTATTGACTTACAGGGTTTTTTTTCCCCTCTATGAACTAATCCTTTAAGGATTTTGAATCAATCACATGAGTTAACGCTTTAATGTTGACAGCCCTATTATAAAATTGTAAAATATCATTGCCTATATTTTGTAGAATACAAAGAGCAATGGATATTTAGTATATGCCCACAATTTGTAGCAATGGGAAGGCTGGAAAATGCACATTCAGCTTGTCTTCAGTTCTTCAGACTCCAGTGGAGTGAAACCGTGATATTGTGCACCCGGGGGGACTCTCGAGGAGCGACAGCTTTGAGTTGAGCTGACCGAGCCAACTCCCTGTTTCTTGAGAACATCTTAATGAGTGAAGCCTTATTTGTGAACAAGCCGCTTGGCTCCAGGGATAAGGCCTTTTCAAAGGCTCTGAGGACAAGGAGGCCATCCCACCATTCCGTTGCTTCCCTGGCTCAGGCGCCTGCTGCTCTTCCCCAGTCCGTCCTAATTGAGTACTGTGAGCAAGCAGCTGAGAAAGCAGTTTCTTCCTGTCCTTCCCACTTATGCCAAGCACATGAAACCCCTTATGGTTTCGCCCTCACCCTAGATGGACATTGGGACTGTCAACTGTCTGGTTCTCCGCAATGCCCGCCAGGCCATCCAAGCTAAAGGGCGTTCTATGACTCTGTCCATGGTTAGAGAGCATGCGCTGTGGCTCAACCCTACACTCTTACACCATGTCCTAACTACACGCGCCGCGACACGCGATAAAAGGTATCTTTTCCATGTTAATCAGAGTTTTTGTCCTAACCAGATGCGACGGTGACACGCGGAGTTTCTAATTTAGAAACGGTTCCTATTTCTGCGACGTCGCGGCTGACTGAATGAAGAAATCACACTGGTTATGAGTACACATTATTTATTTTTTTAGTTAAAAATAGGTCACTGTGCCACAAGATAACGGATAATTTACCTCAGATTTTGAAAGCAGATAATATAGCGTTCAAAATGAATTCTATGCAAACATACAACTGTACTTCATCACAAAATTAGTCAATGAGTATGTTTGTTTAATGTTTTGATTTTTTTTATAATGTTATTTCTTGATTTGATTATGTCCTTACCCATTTCCAATGCGAGTGCGGGCCAGCAGTGCGCTTTCACGCTGTTCTGATCTGGCTGTGATTTATGATTGACGTGTGGCATCTCATAGTCGCGTTGCGTCTAGTGTGGACAGACACACTTGCTTTCGCTGGAATTTTATCGCGTCGCGTGTAGTTAGGACACGGTGTTAGAAGAAATGGTTCTATTTAGAACCAGAAATGGTTCCATCCCCCGCTTCATATATGGAACTCCAAAATGGTTCTATATAGAACCATTTTTTTGGTGAAAGGTTCTATTGGCCAAGTATGGAATATATAGAACCCAGAGGAACCCTTTTTTTAAGAGTGTATAGAACCTTTTAGGGGTTCCAAATACGTAGCACTGATAGAACCTTTTAAGGTTCTATATAGAATGCTTTCTTCTAAGAGTGTATATGAGAAGCAGCACATCATGGGAGCGCCAGTTGAGCCTGATCAAGCCACCTTCGGCTCTGCTGTTGCCCTGATGCAGCAAGGTTGTAATGACAAAAAGAAAGAGGATGAGGCATGTAAGTTATGTTTTCTGTGGAAATCAGCACCACCATGCCACGTTCCCCCTTTACGGCCATCCCGGGTCGAAATTTCCAGGTTCCTGGCAGAGCCAAACCTCGCAGCAGATCGCCAGCGCAGTACGGTAACCCCCTCCTTTTGGCAAAACATCCTTTGCCACAGGCGTGACAAAGAAACCCCCTAATTCCACTCCTCATACAAAACGCAAGAGGCTGGCTTTATGCGTGGCAATAGGGGGCTGTGATGACTACATGTTCTCTGGTCTGCAGCCCGCCAGATGCCTGCTCTTCCCCTCTAATTACAATGTGAAAAAAGGAGGTTTCTGTTGGCTAGGTCAACCCCCCCTTGCTAGTGGCTGCCCACCCAATGTTCAAAGAGGCTTCACCATTCCCAGCATTGCCCAGTGGCCCTTTCAACACACATTGGGGGATTTACATGTTCTAAAGAACAAAATGTTGAAAAAGTATGCACAAGAAGTGTCACCACACAGTTCCCTAGACCCACATCTCACAAATTCAAAGCAGTTTTATAACTCTTAACATGTTCTAAGAATGCTAGAAAATGGACAGTTAGACCTGACTTCCTAAAACGTCCAGGGGGGAACCCACTTAACTCTTGTTGAGGGGGAACCCATTCTAAGGATGATTCTCACCCCCTTTCTGCACGAGAAGTGAGTGAGAAGTGCTTTATGTACTCTGGTAAGGGGTGGTCCCTTACTTGGCATCGGACACATGCTCCTGTCTTTCAAGCCAGACTTGATGCTTCTGCAGAGGTCTGGCACAGATTGCCTTCCCATAGTTTTTTTCCATAGTCACTTTGTTTCAGAGAACCAGGGTTACGAACAGTAACCTATTGTTCTTCAAACACCTGAGAAACTGATTTAATATGAAATCTTTTTTTTTAATTGCAAGAATTTATTGCAATATTTTATTTTATATGTTCATAGAAATTGTTGTAAGTTAATGACGGAAAATTGTTGTATTGTTTGATAACCTACACATTTCCATTGTCTTACATTCTATTACAATCACAGTGGACAGATGTATACTAGGGCTGGAAATCGCCAGAGGCACCACGATACGTTGTTATCACAATACTTCAGCCACGTTACAATATTATTGCTATTTTAAACATTCAGAAATATGCTGGAATGCACTTCCTGTACACACAGCTCACTGCACATGTGTGTGAGAGAGTGATGCGGTAGAAAGTGAGATACGTTATGTGATATTGTCTGAAAGCAATATCTCAAATAATTTTTTTCCCGCAATATGAGCACAGAGCTTACGGTAAAATAGCGCAATACTTAAAATCACAAGCTGAAATTCAGGCCCTGACAATATCAATCAACATTTGGCGTCCTTGTATCGAAACAATATCACCAAGCAAACTTTACTAGTCTTTCTGTCGAGAGTAGAACTGTTTAAATGAGCACCCCTTATATGAAAAGTATCCTGAATTAATTTACGTATGTTTTCTCTTTCATCTCTAGTTTCCGCACCAGCAAAAGTTTGGGCTACTCTGCACACTTTGTGGGTGGATGTCTGATTGTGACCTCTCTGAAATCCAAAGCCAAAGGCTTCCAGCACTGTGTGAAATACGACTTTAAACCCCAGAAGGTTTGAATTACCTCAGTCTTTTTTTTCGCTTACCTGTTTGTACACTTTCAGAAGTCTTTATCTGTACCTCTGCAATGTTCAAGGATAACAAAGTTGACATATAAGAAGGGCTTGTGCTGTGGTCATATCTGAGCAGGGAAGGGATTTGGTTTCTTCTTGATAATCCTCAGATCCCATATGGAATGGAATGGGCAGGCATCCTCAGCTAACAACCTTTAGACTTGAGCTGGATAACCACAGTGAATGATGATCCAACAAGATCATTTGTGCTATAAAAAGATTTTATTTAGAAATAAAAATAATTTTTCAATGGAGAGTCTTTTTATAGCATGAAATGTATGTTACGTATAAGGCTAATTTACATAAATTCATATTTCTAAAATCAAGAAGCTCACTCAAGAAGTGCTCTAAAACCCTTTCATAGGGTGCATATGACCTATTTTTAAATTCCATTTCATTACCTCTGGAGAGGTCTTACCTAAGGGATGACGAGTACCTTCATTGGCTTTCCCCTCCATTTAATGGAAATTCAAGATCTAGGTGAGATTGTTGTTATTGGGTGTAAATGGGCCACAGTCTCACAACTGTAGCAAAGTTTGCTGATGTACCATATTTTTGTATATACCTGGGGTATTGAAACTAAAGTCCAAGGACTCCCAGGGGGCCACAAGAATGAAGGTGCTAGAAAAAAATAGTATTGTTAGGTCTAAGTTAACCTTCCCTTTAAGATATATGAGGAAATATGTTTAAAGTAATACATTCACATACTATTTCATTCTGCTTTCTATGCACTGATCAGAAATCATGAGATGAGTTGTGATTTATTTTATTCACTAGTTTGACTATATATTCTAAATAGACATAGATATTTCTTATTTCTAAGTGTTAAACTCAGATTAGATTGTAACTAGAAAGTGGATTCATCACAAGGGGACAATTCAATTTTGGGGTAAATAATGCTCTCAAAAATTGATATTAAATTAATAATGACATTCTTTCCTGATTATAGAGGTTCGTTTTGTTTTTATTCTACAGTGGTATATGGTGACCATAGTGCACATCTACAATCGCTGGAAGAACAGTGAAATCAGCTGCTATGTCAATGGAGAGTTGGCGTCGTATGGCGAAATCACCTGGTTTGTCAACACAAGTGATGTAAGTGGTTTCAAAAGGTTCTGTTATCTCTGTGTTCTGGTTTTTAACAGCAGTTAAGCTTGAGGCCCTGCTTTTGTCCTCCAGTAGTGTTTCAGTTCAAAGCTTGTCAATATTTTGGCAGCTACAAACCCCAAATACCCAAAAACTTCAAAAGATGAAAGTCCATTTTATATTTAAACTGCTTTGACAGCTGAACAGTAGCAAAAGGAAACATTTTAAAATACATTTGATGAGATTAAATGTGATTTTTCAACCGTGTTATAGTTTCAGAATCTGAAATGTCATGAACATTCTATAATTAGCATAGTAATTTGGAGTTTGCCCATTGAGTGTGCATTGCACATATGCTTTCCTTTTGAAATTATATATCAAAGATCATTATTATCTGAAACAGCACTGCTCAAGGTGTTGTTAGAGTGATATAGGCACTTTCTATTTATAACATTTAAACAGCAGCATTTAGTTATAACAAGTTTTTTGTTTCTTATGTTGATTCATGGGCAAACAAAATGATGCATGTGGACATATCAACACACATGGACACATTATTTATATATATATATATACACTGTGAAAACACACATATATACACATATACACTGAGTTCAATCATGAATTTGTTTTAATAGAAATTCTATTTGGGTTTAATAGAAATTCTGAGAAGAGTTTTATTTCAAATGAATCCTGTTCTTTTAAACTTTCTATGGACTGATCATAGAAAGTTTAAAAGAGAGAGAAAAACAATTCTAATAATTCCAATATTAATAATCTTTCTAAAGGATCATGTAACACTAAAGAATGAAGTGATGGATGCTGAAAACGTCTTTGCAATCAGAAAAAACAACAACAAAAAACATTTTATAATATATATTTTAAAATAGAAAGCTGTAATTTTAAATTTTAATAATATTTTACATTATCATTATTTTTACTGCATTTTTTATCAAATAAATGCAGCCTTGGTGAGCATAAGATACTTAAAAAAAACCAATAAAAAACTTTGGAACAGTTTATATTATAGTTAAAACATTGTGAAAAAAAAAAAAACTGAACCAAGCAAACTTTTTTTCCCTCTTGCAGACGTTCGACAAGTGTTTTCTGGGCTCATCAGAGACAGCAGACGCCAACCGAGTGTTCTGCGGTCAGATGGGGGCAGTGTATCTGTTCGGTGAAGCTCTCAGTGCTGCTCAGATTTTAGCCATCTATCAGTTGGGGCCTGGATACAAGGTATATATTTTTCTCTGCCCAAATGCTGTCTATTACAGATTTATTTTTTTATTTATTTTTTGGCCAAAATCCTTTCTTGATTATGTAATAATGTAGTCAAATCACATATATGTACAGCTGTATCTGTACGTTAGGTTTTAAAGCAACACTAAGTAAGATTTTTTACCTTAAAATAATATTTTCAAAATCGTTTCAGTGGTTCATCAAGTCGTAACAGGGTGAAAGGCACTTATACCTCCGCTTTGCAGTCCTTTATCTGCTATAAACCCGCTATGTAAGCTTGCCAGATTGGGTCGAGTTTCTGTAGTTCTAATGAGACATAAGAAAACTACAAATCTGACTTGCTTTATGTCAAGCGTTACAATTGTCATTGTTTTGTTTTTCTTTGTTTCTGATGTCGCAATACATCATACTTTCATGAAATCATGCAACATACTCTAGCTTGTCTGTGGACATCGTTCATTCCAAAGCCGGTGCTAGATAAACAACAAGCGTGCGACAGTAGGATGCGGTAGGCTAAATTATTTACGACAGCGGAAATGGACAATTCCGCTTCCAACCTGTAGGGCGACCGCAGAGGAAAAGTTACTTGGTGTTGCTTTAAAGGTTTAATGCAGTTGCTGTTTTATTCATCTTAATTTCTTAATTTATTTCTTTTTTTTTTGTATTTGGATACCATGGTTTTAATTTAATTGGCTAACATTTATTTATAAGCAATCATTTAAAATAAATCATTTAAAAAAATATAAAGTCATAAAATTCAGCAAATTTAAATATATATTAGCATATCTTAAGAGTGTCTTTATTAAATAGAAATAGCTTATTATTAAGCTTTTCTTTCTTAAGCTATTCTTTCAAGTAAAGTAGCGTGCCAAGCATATTAATTTTTCGCAGTGGTCTCAAGAGTTGATATTGAGAGATATTTCACTAGTTGTGTAGTTGTGGTATTGAATACAAAATGTCATTTGATCCAAGATTTTTCAATTTGCTGTTCAATGATATGATAATTGACTGGAACACATTGGTAAGCTTTATCATTCACATCATCTCACAGTCTGTCTGTTGCACTTAAACACTTATGCTTTTATCAAGTGCTCTGATGAAGTAGATTTAATTTCATGCTTCACACACACACACACACTTGAGAATGTGTAGCATACGTAGCTTTGCTTTAAGCATCTCTATCTCTCTCTGATTGATCCAGGGCACTTTTAAGCACAAGGCAGAGAGTGACCTGCTGTTTGCAGAACATCACAAGATGCTGCTATATGATGGAAAGCTGTCTGCCAGTATCGCCTTCACCTATAATCCCCGAGCCACTGACGCTCAGCTGTGTCTGGAGTCCTCTCCCAAGGACAATGCCTCCATCTTTGTGCACTCACCACACGCCCTCATGCTGCAGGTATGCTCTTTCTCTTTCTCTCTTCATCACAACTGGTTCACCAGCCCCACATAGCTGCCTGAAAAAACCTGCCCTGCCAGGTGGACTGCTGTCTGTGGGCGAATGAAACTAGCTCATCATCCTTCGTTAACGTAATTAACAATATGAGCATTTTATCATCTCGCTCAGCAAAATACGGCCCACACCTGTGCTGCATCCAGCACTCCATGAGCTCTAAAGCACTTCATCTAATCTGGTCTTCATTGTTATCAAGGGAGGCTACTCATCTTTTTAATGTTTATTTATTTATAAATAAAATCTCCTAATTTAGTTATCTAAAAGAATAACATTTAATTAGGTTTTGTTTAGATTGCAAGAATGACTTGTCATAGACTGGAAAATCTCAGAATGGGGTAAAACATTTTTTACTTGCCACATTTGAATAAGAAACGATGCTGAGGATAGAAACGATAGGATAAATTATTTTAAATTAACAATTGGAGCAATAGTGTTATATATATATATATATATGAAGAGTTCAGATGCAAAAGCCTCTAAATGCCATTTGAAATTTTCTTCTTTAATGATGATTTTTTATCAAACTTGTATATTTAAGTTCAGTAATTTCACTTAAATAACAATTAATAGGTAATTATCATTGCCATTTAAGTGAAATCACTGAACTTAAATATACAAGCTTGATAAAAATGATAATTTTAGAAGAAAATTTCAAATGGCACTTAGAGGCTTTTGCATCTGAACTCTTCATATATATATATATATATATATATATATAATTTAACAAAAATATATAATAATATAATTTAACATGATTCTCAGATTTTTGTAGTTCATAAAGCCTTCATACTGTAAGTTGATGGCACCTCAACATGCTGAACAGATGAAGTACTTCTCTCTTTGACAAGGATTTTACGGATGTGCCATCATGTGTCGTCTGGGAGAGCACTAGTCTGATTAAAGGGACATAAAGAAGGACCTCACAGCTGTCTTTCTGTATTTAATTATCCCCCTGCCACTTCATCATGCGTACAGAGCACAGATTTAGGAAATAACCTCCAAATATCAGGAGTAGTTGTTGCAGAACCTCAATATAGGGAGATACAATCTCCCAAACAATAGGGAGATTACATTTATGAATTGTTTTTATCGGAGAGTCTCTGTGTTGCACAACATAATGACATAATACAACTTAAAATTACAACTTGATTAAAACATATCTAAAATCAATCCTTTCTGTGTTTCAGGATGTTAAAGCTGTGGTGACACACTCGGTCCAGAGTGCCATTCATTCTATAGGAGGAGTTCAGGTCCTTTTCCCCTTGTTTGCACAGCTGGATTTCCTCCAGCACAGCGGTGACGAGCTGGACACCTCGGTCTGGTGAGAACACATTAAGTCTGCCTGGGGGTGGAATGAAAACTACTAAAGGGATTCTCAGTGGGAAAACAAGATTGAGCTCTTCTCAGTTTTATCCTGGCCAGGAAAAACTGAAATTTAAGTTAATGTGTTCTCTCTTAGAGTTGTTAAATCCAGTAGACGCACAAAGGCACAATTTTTTTTTCACGGTATTCTAACCATTACTCTGTTTTAGGCTCTAGGGTTTGGCACTCAAAGGGCCAGTGCTCAGTGTTTGGACACATCATTGAATATCAGCCAATACAAAGTTAAACATTTAACCATGATTGGCTTTATTACTAACAAATGAGTGTTTGAGTGTTACCTTCATCGGCCAAGAACAGTCTTGAATAGTGTTTCTGCTCCACATCATCAAAATGACTGGTTTGTTTGATTGTAGTAATGACAATAGACCCCTTTTGCGCCGACGTCACAGTTATGTCACGGGGCTAGCTGGAGGCAAAACAAAGTGAAAACTGGAGGCGGCCAATACAAACCAGCACAGATTCGGCTACATAATAAGGAGCTTAAATTACTTTTATTATTTTTAAATGTCATCTTATTGTGTTGTTTGGTGCAAGAATTGATGAAAAATTAATATGCTGTATCTGGAACTTTTATTTCAAGAAAATATTCACATTATTAAAATCGTACCGTAATATCACTCTTTACATTGTCGCGGTCTCAGCAGAACTGCGGATCGTACACACAAGTCTTGTACAGGACCATATAGGCATCTAAAGATTTATATGCCCTCAGTTTCTCTTTACGATTGGTTTCTCAACCGAGGTAACGTAACGTTAATCCTGTCAGATCGTCCATGCATCGAGTAAGCGTGTAGGCGGCTACGGGTTGGCCAATCTGGTTCTGTCCGTTAAAAATAACTTGGAAATAACAATCGTGGTCCTGGACAGTGAGTGACCTTACACATTAAGATAAAATCGGATTTTCTCCAGTCATTGTTAAAAAACAAGCTAACAATACTTGCCAACTAGCGTTAGTGAAGCGGCCAGAGGGATCGTTCTGCCTCCATCTAAGCTTCGCCCACAAAAAATCGTCACCATGTTTACTAACTGAAAAGGGGTCTATAGCAAGATATCTTTGCTTTATCACTTTGAAACTGAAACTGTTTATCATAATGAATGTCGTAAATCCGTTTATCATTTAGTGTCATCATGTCTTTCAAAAGCCCCAATTTAGTAGAATGCCCAAGTTTTTCTTTTCCTTACCAAAAGAAGCTCCGTTAAATTAGACAATTAGCTGGAAATCTTCTCTGCCATGTCTCAAATATCACGCATCAAGATTCACAAGATGCACAAAAACATAAGGTGTTTGTCATCTTGATGTCAATAATGAAACGGCAGGTTTGAGTGCGTTCCATCTTAAGATTTCAGTCTGTTCGTCACACAGAGCTATCATGTATCAGAAGACTTTTTTCTCATTGATCTTTATAGCCCCTGGTCACTGTCTTTTTTTAATTATATGGAAAAGATTTCTGTTTTGTATTCCACAGAAGAAAGAAAGTCATAAGTGTTTGTAAAACGAGTAAATAGTAACATAATTTTAGTCATTTAATTCCTGGAACTAAATCAGGACTAAATATTATCTGACTTTTTTTTGTTAATTTGTTTGTCTTTCTCTACTGAATCTTACCTGTCATTTGTTTTTGTTTTTTTTAGTTGCACACTACTGTCGTTTGTGATGGAGCTGTTGAAGGGCTCTGTAGCTATGCAAGAGCAGGTGCTGGCCTGCAAGGGCTTTCTCGTCATCGGTTACTCACTGGAGAAGGTGAGTGCCGAACACATACGGTTGAGTGGATGTGGAACGTTCATGCAAAGGAACTTTGATCAAAGGTCTTTTTAAATTAAAAAAAGTCTAAATCTTACTAATGTTAAAACAAAACACGAGAAGAAAAGGTCTTAAGTAAGCTTATATTCTTAAAATGTATGAGAGGGAGTCCTTGTGCCTGCAGAAGTTGCTGGGTGGAAAAAAGAGGAATGCTTAAGATTATTACCGTACCTAACTGAATGTCTCACGATCATATGTTTTAAAACACTGAGAAACACTGTAAGTGCTTAACTTGTCCTTTGCCTTTATATATATATATATATATATATATATATATATATATATATATATATACTGTATATATACAGACACCATTATTTTTGTTTTGAAAGTCTTTCTCCCTTTACTATGTACGTACACTCACTTTTTCCTCGTCTTTTACTAATATCTCAGCATAGAGTAAAGTTCCTTGACACTGAAGGTCTCATCCGGCCTCAGGACCACAGTAGTCTTAAATAAATGTAAAAAGAATACATGAAAGACTAAAATGAATTTAGTCGGTATGTAAAGGCCTTACAATGCGAATGCTTTTGGAATATTTAGTCTGCTTTTGGAATTTTTTTTTAATTAATTTTTTTGGCTGCAATGTCAAGTAATTAATGTTCGAACTAATGTTTTGCGCGCTTTTGCGTGCTTGACATTAATTATATGTATCTTTAGAATATAAGTCACAGCACATTTCTGATAAATAAAATGCAATTTATCTATATTTTTTGTGACCAAGTTTATTAACTTACTTTTATTGATCTTTGATTTCATGTTTGTATTTTCTTCTCAGTCTTCCAAAGTACACGTGACACGATCTGTGCTGGACATCGTCCTCGCCTTCTCCCGTTACCTTAGCAACCTTCCTAACGGGGTTTTGCTCTTGAAACAGCTGTGTGACCACATCCTCTTCAACCCTGCCATCTGGATTCATGCCCCAGCTAAGGTATCTTACACAGAAATTTACATAAACTGATGCTGTTGCATAATGCTAGCTTAATAGTTTACCAATTCTTTGTTTTCTTAAAAGTGACTTGATTGTTGCTTGAAATTGATTTGCTGCCCCCAACAGGTACAGCTGGTTCTCTACACCTACCTGGCCACAGAATTCATTAGCACCGTCAATATCTACAATGCCATCCGCAGAGTTGGAACTGTACTGCAGGTCATGCACACACTCAAGTATTTCTACTGGGTTGTAAACCCACTGGACCGCAGCGGAATCACGCCCAAGGGCCTCGGTAAGAGTGCAGAACTAAACCAACTTCTCAACACATGCTGAGACAAGTGAATAAGGGTCAAAAAAGGTTCATGTGTAGCTATAATGGTGTCCCAAAGTTTGAGAACAATAATATTTGTTTTCACATTTAGTACAATTTATTTTTGTTACAAATTATAATATCAGCATAAAAGTTATTTTTTTCATGTTTAAATAAATGGGATTTTTTTTGTGGTCTCAAACTTTAGAGTCCTGCTATATAAAGTAACAATATGCGTTCGTCTATGTCAGAGTATCATATTTAATTATATTGATTTTAAAACACAATGTTATTGTGAATATTTATATGTTTCCAAATAAATGGGCACTGCAGGTTTGCACTAAAGATGTGGTTGGAAAACATCCCATCCCACAATAACAGAGCAATTTGTCTTTCCGTGTGTTTTCTGTGTAATTTCCACAGTAGACGGCTTCCTCACTTGTCTCATTCAAATGTCATTAAACAGAATCAAGATTACAATAAATGAATGAAATGATATCTTTTTTTGGTTTATACCAAGTAATAAAGGAGAATAATTTAAAATTGTGGTTCTAAACTGATGAAAACAACACAATGAAAAACATTAGTATTATCACCAATTGCATAGGGCTGTGGAATATTACATTTGATTTGATATTTCATGACCCCTCTTTTTGGTTGATATCCTGTATCTGTTTGTGTTCAGATGGGCCGAGACCCAATCAAAAGGAGATTCACTCTCTCCGAGCGTTCCTGTTGCTGTTTGTCAAACAGCTTATCATGAAGGTGCAGTAGAGTGGCAAGAACATAATATGAATACAATCTGAATTAATAAACTCCATCATGTAGAGTGCAGTATAGATAATACTTGTGTGTCCTGTCAATGTAGGATCATGGTGTAAAGGAAGACGAACTGCAGAGCATTCTGAACTACCTGCTCACAATGCACGAGGTACCCTAATGCATATACTCTCATTTCAAACAGTTCTCAATACATCACAGTCTTTTAAACCAGTATCGCTGACAAAATCAATTGGGATTATTAATACTGTAATTTTTGTTACACTGGACAATCTGTAACTGCCACCAGATGGCGCTTGGTCCCCACAGCTGTTTCTCTCTTAAAGGGATACTCAACTATTTTTTGTAAAAGGCTAATTTTTCCACTCCCCCAGAGTTAAAAAGTTTGGTTTTACCGTTTTCGAATCCATTCAGACGATTTTCTGATATTTAGAAGAATATCAGTAACCGGACAGTTTTAGGTCCCATTGACTTCCATAGTATATAGTTTTTCCTACTATGGAAGTCAATGGGACCAGAAACTGTCTGGTTACTGATATTCTTCTAAATATCATAAAATCGGCTGAATGGATTCGAAAATGATAAAACTAAATCTGTTTAACTCTAAGGGGGTGGTAAAATGAGTCTATTTCCAAAAAAGTGGAGTATCCCTTTAACAGCATAACTGTAATTTGCCATTTAAAAAATAAGTTGCAGTTTACTCATTATTCCACTTTCCACAATATACTCATGAATTTTCTTTACTATTATATATAATATGTTTGCTTTTTGCAGAAAGTGCTATTTTTACTCCCTTATAATTTCCCGTCACATGTTTATGTAATGTTAATCCTGCAACAAGTTAATGCAGACACAATTTGCAGTATATTAACTATACAGTAACTTACAATGTACAATCCCCTGCTTAAAGGGATACTCCACTTTTTTTTCTCGAAATAGGCTCATTTTACAACTCCCCCAGAGTTAAACAGATGAGTTTTACCGTTTTTGATTCTTCTAAATATTAGAAAATCGGCTGAATGGATTTGAAAACGGTAAAACTCAACATTTTAAATCTGGGGGAGTGGTAAAATGAGCCTATTTCCAAAAAAAGTGGAGTATCCCTTTAACTCTATATTCTGCATTTTAAAACATAGATCACTTTTTAAGTGTGTTTTGAATGACTCCTTTCTCTGAAATGTTATGTTTATTTATTGTAAATATTTTTTCCAGGATGACAATCTGATGGATGTTCTCCAGCTTCTGGTGGCGCTGATGTCTGAGCATCCTGGCTCAATGGTTCAAGCCTTCGATCAGCGGAATGGAATACGGTGAGAACTGTGTTTGCCCTTTGCAACCAGACATTACATTCTTTAACCCATTTTTTATTATTTTTTATTAAAAACTATAAATTAAACTGGAAAAAAATAACTGACAGATGAATTTGAATCAATCTCTGTGGAATAATGGGAGGCCAGAATTCTTCATTCTCAGCAGAGACATCTGAGTCCTGCTCAACAAAACCTATAAAAACACTTTCATAGGTTCATATGATACCTATGCTGCTGTACTGAGCGCTCATACGGGCTACTAAAATGGAGGCATTTTCATGTCCAAAGCCTTTATAGATATGCTAGTTCCACTGACAGCCACGGGGTTAAATGTGCACGCTAGCGGGGGGGCATCTGGACAGCTCGTCACGATAAAACAGAGGGCCTCGCTTTCATTTTAGATCTGACAACCTCATTCAAATCACACTTCCATCAGATCCTAGTCCAGAAGGATATAGGCAGATTCATTTTAATATGTAGACAGTGTAATAGTCTCGGTTACATATGAATGTACATGTCAGCTCTTGTGAGATCTGTGTACACACCAGACTGCGTCGTAATTTCCTTTTGTTGGAAAGAATCAGTGAAAACAGTTAAAAACAAAAATTCTTTATATATTTTAGCTTGACTCTGATGGTACACTACATACATTTTAAATATAGATAAAATAATATGTTTGTTTTCAACTTTCTCTCTTTAATTTATTTTGCATACTTCTTTATTTCTGTGAATAACACAGGGTCATCTTTAAGCTACTTGCATCCAAAAGTGAAGGGATTCGTGTGCAGGGACTCAAAGTCTTGGGCTACTTTCTCAAATATTTGTCTCCAAAGTAAGTTACTTTTTATTATTTGGAATTAAGGCTTGTAATAATACTGTCGATCATATTAGTAATAATAACACGTTAACCCTGTTTTTAATATGTGATACATTTACATGATTCACTCTGACTGTTTATTTTACAAAATGAGTCGGTAGTGGATGGTTTAGCTATAAATATTTAGCAGAAATAAGCTCCCAGCATACCATCAAGTGAGTTGAAGGCTGATTTTTTTTTTTTCTTTTCTTTTCTTAAAATGAATGATTTAAAATAAGCAACTTGGTCTTTTCCCAGAGTGAATTCAGCTGGGTTATTTTGATAACAAATTACTCTCACTCCTCCACTATTAATACATGCAGCATGGACATATTTATGCGTTAATGTAGTCAAAGTCTGTAATTGTGTGTGAGTATTTTTCCTAATGTTTCTGTGGTGTTTGATAGATAAAGCTCAGTTTCATTTATAATCCCATTTGCTTTATGTGAGTTTCCCCCAGAAGGAATCTGACCGCCAAGTGCTTTTAAAATAGATGCAGCTTCATTCCGTGACTATGAAGATATTTTTCAGAAGCTCTGGGCTGCAGTTATGCCCTGTTGCGGAGTAGATCATAGTGTGGGCTTGGTGCTAATGTTTTGGATGCCATGTGTTTCAGGACAAAGTCAGAGGTCATGCTGGCTCACGGCCTGTTCTCTCTGCTCACTGAACGATTGTTGCTCCACTCGAACCAGATCACAGTCACAACGTACAATGTGCTTTTTGAGGTCAGTCTCCTTTTTTTTAATGGCTGCTTGTAGCATGCAAACGTCAGCCACATTTTTAGGTAATAGCATGACCGACACAGTAATATCTGCCCCTTCTCAATTAAATAATTTTTTTTGGTGTGGTAACACCATCAATAAACAAATACATGCACTTTTACATTTGAATCAACATATTTAACAACCTCCCTCTCCTTAACTCCTTGAAATCGGCAAATTACAATAGCTCTCTAATGCTCACATGACTGTTTATCCTTGATCCATTTTTTTAAACACATTATTTAAGATGTCATGTTCTCAAATGGCTTATGGCAGAAAGTTCCAGTACTCAACTACTTTAACTGAAAAAATTGTTGTAGTAGTTCACTTTTTAAAAAAAACTTTACTCACCACCATGTCATCCAATATGTTCATGTCTTTCTTTCTTCAGTCGCAAAGAAATTAAGGTTTTTGATGAAAACATTCCAGGATTTTTCTCCATATAATGCACTTTAATGGGAACCAAACGGTTCAAGGTCCAAAAGACAGTTTCAGTGCAAACTGAAAACTGTTCAAAGGGATTTAAACGACACCAGACGATGAATAAGGGTCTTATCAAGCAAAATGATCACTCAATAGTAATAAAAAAAACAAAGTTTAAGTTCTATAAGCTCAAATGGTCACCTTGCTCTGTTCTGTGATGCACGTTCGTGACTCTCCTGTTCGAACAAAATGAACAAATGTTTTTCCGAGTCAATTCGTTCATTTCGTTCATTGAATGAACCAAATACTCGAAAAAAGATTTGTTCATTTTGATGAACGATTTCTAACAGGAGAGTCATGAACGTGCATCACAGAACAGAGCAAGGTGACCATTTGAGCTTATAGAGCAAATTTTTTTTTTTTTTTTTTTTTTTTTTAAATGAGCGATCGTTTCGCTTGATAAGAAACTTATTCATCGCCTGGAATCGTTTAAAGCCCTTTGAACAGTTTGCACTGAAACTGTATTTTGGACCTTAAACTGTTTGGTTCCCATTAAAGTCTATTATATGGAGAAAAATCCTGCAATGTTTTCATCAAAAACCTTAATGTGTTTTCGACTGAAGAAAGAAAGACATGGACATCTTGGATGACATGGGGGTGAGTAAATTATCAGCAAAAGTTTTTTTTTTTTAAAGTGAACTACTCCTTTAATATAACACAGCTCTATTTTCTGACTTGTTCATCATTTGGCAGATTTATTTACTTCCTTGTGGATTTTCTTTCTTCATGCTGACACCTGATCATTGTGAAATGCTGTGTACTATCTATCAGTGACTAACCAGAACATTCTCACCAGATTCTTACGGAGCAGATCTGTACCCAGGTCATTCACAAACAGCACCCAGACCCTGACTCCACTGTGAAGATTCAAAACCCACGTAAGTTAATATGAACCAGTGTTGTAGTACTCGTCTCGGACTCGGTCTCGAGACCATATTTTAATGGTCTTGGTCTTGTCATGGACTCGTGTGCATTTGGACTCGGAATTGACTCGTACTCGAACATTTTTTTTTAGGACTCAGACTTATTCCCGAGTCCACTCGAGTTCAATTCAAAATATTTTTCATGATTATTAATGTATGTTAATAAAATATTTCTTTAAATTGATTGACACGCCCAGTGATTGGTGATTTTCTAGTGCGCAACTGCGCATGACAAATTGTAATAAAATTACTTTCATTACCACCTACTATGTGGCCTTTTTACCCTAAACTGATCATATTTTTTAAACTCTAAGTAAATTCAGTAAAAAAAAAAAAAAAGGATTTTTCTAAGTAAATAAAAGTAAATTAGGTAATCAACCCTCACTGGTCTCGTTCTCGAATCGGACTCGACCGTCTCTGGTCTCGGACTCGACTCGGACTCGACTCTCTATGGACTCGGTCTTGACTCGGACTCGACTCTCTCTGGTCTCGGTCTCGACTCGGACTCGAGTGAGGTGGTCTCGACTACAACACTGATATGAACCACAATCCCTTCTCCTGTAGCACCAGTGATTATGCACTCTGCCTATGCACTCTATATTAAATAGCTGTTAATAGATTAAATAGACACATTTTTAGTTCTTTTTCTTGTATTTAATAAAATAAATACAGACATTTTTTATTTATATAAGGAAGTTTCTATTCTTAATGGACAATTATAAATATTTTTTTCCCTACTTTTTTGTATTAGTGGCCATATTTATTTACACTATGTTCAGGTTGTACTGCAGTTTTACCTGCATTTCCCTGCGAAATCTCAAATAAAAAATTGTATGAAGACTTAAATACAAGTTTTTTTGTTTACTTGCATTCAACTCAGAAAACAATATTTGAAGAGTTCAGATGCAAAAGCCTCTAAATGCCATTTGAAATTTTCTTCTTTAATGATGATTTTTGTCAAACTTGTATATTTAACTCCAGTAATTTCACTTAAATAACAATTAATAGGTAATTATCATTGCCATTTAAGTGAAATCACTGAACTTAAATATACAAGCTTGATAAAAATCATCATTAAAGAAGAAAATTTCAAATGGCATTTAGAGGCTTTTGCATCTGAACTCTTCATTTACAGTACAGTTATCACTATAACCATATTCAGGGTTGCAGTAGGAGTCAACATAATGCTAACGTATTCTACACCACCTCTCATATCATGTGTGTGGAAAATGTCCATACATGAAAGACAGCAAGATCACATGCAATTCTGATTATTTTTACTCGTGATTTCCAGTAATAGTATTAAGTGAGTCTCAATTAATATTTTTGTGCCTGCTGCGGTGCAAATCAAACAGTTACCATTTTTTCTTGTGTCTAGTGGTGAAGTGTACAGTTACCTTTGACAAATGGAGCTCATTTGATGGTCACCTCTACTCCGATGATAAACACATTAAAAAATAATTAACTTCCCCCTGTAGCTATAGGATAGAGTTTTCACTGCATCCGTTTCATTCACAACCAGCTAGTTTCTCAATATTAGATGGCTGAATTCTCTTATAATGAAATGCCTTATTTCCAGCCTCAGTTTATGCTCAATTTTACAGTACACGATTAGGCAGCAATCAGATGCTCTGGTTTTAATGTAAAAAGGGAAACTAATATTGTATATTGATCCATATCAGGCCTTTCCATAATGAAGCTTAATTCTGAGGTACTGGAGGCAGCTGATTAGAGCTGTATTCCCATGGAGATGTGACCATATGTACACAAACCACTTGCCAGTCAGAAGAATGACAGTCAATCACAGATCCTGGGTCGGTTCTAAAACGCTCAGATGGAGATGGTAAACCAACAGAGTCTGATTCAAGGCCATCTCATAGAGTATCAGAGAGCGAGCACAGCAGAGTTTCAGCTTTCTTCTTCTGTCTCTCCTTGATTTGATCTGTGTTGAAGCCTCTAAATGGCTCTGATTGCAGTCTTTAGCAATGTCAGACCCAATCAAACAAACTGAGGAAGCAAAAGTTTCTTTTAAATTACACTCTGGGACAAACCAGGACCAAATGGTGATTGGAGAGCGAAAAAAACAGAAAAGTGCAGAGATACATGCAAAGGTAATTTTCTACTGGTAAGGTTCAGTGACTCTAATTTGAGTGAGTAAGGCGTAGAAACAACACAATTCTGCTGGAACGAGTGAGAGCATTGGTTACAGATGCCGTCGTGCTCTAAACTCCCTGTGACGGCTGAAACTTGAGCTGCTCTTCTCAACTTAATGCATGCTGACATTGTCTAGATAATTCATCTAAACAACCAATCTTTCCAGTTTAAGCTAACGCTCAGTTCCTGGAAGCCACGACTTTAGCTGCAGAGTTTAGACTATACTGACCTTATGATGTAGACATATTTTTTTACTCCCTCCACAATATCTGTGAGTTATTCTCACTATGTACAAAAGTGTTGGGGCAAAAATATGTCTGTTTTATTAAAGGGATGTTTTATTAAAAAATGGATTAAAAAAATGTATAACTATAATGTTCACTACCGTTCAAAAGTTTCAAAACAGAAAGATGTTTTTAGTGTTCTCGAAAAAACAAAAAATTATGCTGACCTAGACTGCATTTTTTTGATCAAGAATATGGTAAAAACGGTAATGTTGTGAATTATTAATATTATTTAAAAGAATATTTTTCTTGTGATGGCAATGCTGAATTTTTAACATCATTATTACAACAGTCTTCCGTGTCGCATTAAAATTTTTTTCTGGATTCCATTTATTGAACAGACAGATTTTTTTAACATTATCAATGGCTTTATTGTCACCGTTGATCAATTTAATGCATCCTTACTGAATAATTTTTAAATAATTTTTACATTTTACTTTAAATGGCAATCTACATTTTTTCTCATTTAAATATGTTGTAAACTTTGTGCAACTGTATAGCAGTATAATGTTTGGACATGCTGTTTACTTTGTTTTCCATATACATTTTAATTTACCCCATTTGTGGTGTATTAGATAACCAGTAAAAAAAGAATATCAATAAAATCTGCAATCAATATTTTAGTGTTTAAAAACAAAAACTAATGTTATGACTCCCCTTTTAAAGGATTATAAGCTTTTTGAAAAACTAGGCATTCAGATACAGTGTGACATGGTACATTCAAGTGCATGAAAGGCATATTTTTTTCCCCCATCAGAAATCCTAAAGGTGATAGCTGCTCTTTTAAAGAATGCTCCTCCAGGAGCAGAAAGCATGGAAGTACGACGTATCTTTCTCTCAGACATGATCAAACTCTTCAACAACAGCCGAGAGAACCGCAGGTGGGGACTGTTAAAACAGACACACACACAAACTGTCCAACACTCATCATCATCATGAGTTTTTTTCTGAAATGAGTAAAGTTTTTTTGGTAACGCTTCCTTTTACAGTCCCCTTACCCATGTACATACTATGTACTTATTGTAGTAATTACAATTACTGGGTAATAACTAGGTACTAACCCTGAACCTACCCCTAAACCTACAGTACCCCTAACCCATGTACTTACCTTATATTAGCCAGTACTTTCTAGGTAAGTACACTGTAAGTACTGTACTGTAAAAGGAAGCGGTACCGTTTTTTTTTTTTTTTTTAACGCACTCATTCTTTTGTGTAGGAGTCTGTTGCAGTGCTCGGTGTGGCAGGAGTGGATGCTGTCTCTGTGCTTTATTAACCCCAAGAACAGTGAGGAGCAGAAGATCACAGAGATGGTGTACGCCATCTTTCGCATCCTCCTTTATCACGCCATTAAGTACGAGTGGGGCGGCTGGCGCGTGTGGGTGGACACACTCTCCATCACGCACTCCAAGGTCAGGAACCAAATGCGCACACAAAACAACACACGGATGAATGTATGCGGTACACATTAATTGCAGTCATGAGTATTCACACAAATTTACAAAGCTTGGTAATCTTTCATACAACACGGGAAAGGTTTTATGTCTTTAAAAATATTTCCCTGATTTAATTTAATCATACCCATTTTGCTCTTCTGACAAAACAAACATTATGAAATCAGTGATTAAATAGTGTACAAACTTCAGTGAAGTCTACACCACCAAATAAAGGGTTCGTTTTGCCTCCCTTGTGCTGATTTGTGTTACCATTGAGTTTACTGGGGTTTTTTTTTACTAATGGATAAATACAATTACTAAGAAATATTACCATAACAATAAACATCATTATTATTATTATTACTAAACTATTGCTAATAGTATGCATTAACAAACATATTTCTTCGTTTTTCATGTAAACTACAGTTTAATGGTTTTTGTTATGTTTTGGAAGGAAGTCTCTTATGCTCAACCAGGCTGCACTTATTTGGTTAAAGAATACAATAAAAACAGTGATGTTGTGAAGTGTTGTTATAATTTAAAATAACTGTTTTCTATTTAAATATAGTTAAAAAAATATTTATTCATGTGATGAAAAAGGTGAATTTTTAGTGTCATTACTCCAGTCTTCAGTGTCACATGATCCTTCAGAAATCAGATGTTTTTTTGTAATACAAATAAAAATAAAAACAGACAGATTAAGCAAACAATAGCCTTTAAAATAAGTTAAAATACATATACTGTATAATAACAATGATGCATAATTGGTTCAAATAAAGTAGCTATCAAAAGCAAGTAATTATCTTTTATAGAACAACACTGTTAATAAATAATATAGTATACATAATATAAACAATCAACTTATGTGTTATAACGAATGCCTGCAGAGGCGCCAACAGCCTGGTGTTGTTGCACTTTACAGCAGATCAAATAATTTTTTTTAATATTGGCCAAATTACATTTAATTCAAATGTCCACTTAATCTTTAATATTTGGCCACTTCTTTACGATAGAATTGCTATAGACACTGTATTTTCTTGAACATGACTATGTGGATATCAAAACATGCAAACTCAGAGCTAGGGTTTTATTTTGTGTTTTTAACATTTTTGAAATCGTGATGAACGTTAGCATATCTAAAATATATATATATAGACATAGCACACATAGCGTTCCCCAATGAACGTTAAAAGCAGCCCAAACTCACAGCATATTTAGTGATGGAGTTTGAGACATACTCTCCACGCATACATGATAGTTCATTTGGAGCAGCATGATGTTCTGAGACGCACATAACCTGCTCACATATAAATAATTAAAGCGCATATTAAACCTGCAGGGCATATATTTATTTAATCCAATCGCAGCCTTTGTGAATTCATAATACCACTATGGTATAGTACATCATGCTGCCTAAAACGGTCTAATAATGCGGTTAATGGATTCCCGTCTGTGGACTGCGACACTTCCGGAATTTTGCCAATTACTCAACACGGGTAATTTGCTATCGAGAATTGTTTTTTAAAATTTTAATGCTTTTAAAAAAGTTTAAACTGTAATTTAATCAAAGAATCATAACAGTGCTTAATATTTAATACCCCCCCAGAAAAAAAAACAACAACAACAATTTAAACATCTCAACTATCAATTATCAATTTTGATCAGTTGCATGCTTCCTTGCGGAATAATAGTATTGCTTTATTTCATAAAAAATTAAACAAAGAAATACTATTTATTTAGCAATACTAAAAAAAAATATTTAATTTTTTTTGCGCTATAATAACCCCAAACTTTTGAATATGCTATATAAGCATATAAAATATAAAAATATTTGAATATAAGCATATATATTATAGTATTGGCTGCTTGTTAGTAGTGTAGTATTCCATATGCATTTCATCCAGAAACCATGCAGACATCATATTGAAATGAAAACAAAAGATACGACTTTGCCTCCTCATTTCAAAAGTCTGATTAACACCTATTATTCCTTTGCTTTTCTCTCTCTGGTGTCTCTTGCCATCAATCTGTCTCTCTTTTTTCCCAGCACTGATCATACTCTTGTATTTGGTTCCTTTTCTCATTGCCTCTTGCTCTCCTACGCCCGACTCTCTCAGCATTCATCCACTGGCTTCTCACTGCAGAAATCTGACTGTTATTGCGCTCTATAATCAACTTGACTTCTCAGATTAGAATCTTTATTTTTCCTCCAATGCCAAACCCTCTGTTCATACTTTTATTTACAGATTGAATTGCCTCCATAATGTTTTTGAGAGCTCTCAGTTTTCTGTGCTTTCTAGCTTCAGAAATGTCTATTTTAAGATGCTCTATTGACATTGTAATATGGACATGGTTCCAAGCGTAGTGAAGTCATTTGGTGTCAGACTGTGGTTTTGGGCACCAGCTTCTGGCACTCCTCCATCTATACACACTCTGTTTGTGTTCTTGTCACTGGCCACTTGGGGGCGCAGCTGTGCTGTGCAGTGAGATGTGTAAGAAAAAGAAGATCTGTAGTGCTCAGAGTGCTTATTCATCAGAATATGTAGCCTTATAGCCTCAGATTCACTTCTAGCGTGTCATTTCTGTAGTACTAGTGTCACCAAATGGAATCACAAAAATATTGTTTCCAAACAGGTTTCAAAATACATCCCTTTTTTCGTTGGTTGGACAAACAGCCATGACAGACATAGGCCAGTGTTGCTACTGTATATCAGGGTGGTCAGAATGTGTGTCTTGATAGCACTGCAGAGCCGCAGTGGTTAAAGGAAATTTTCAAGGTAATCGATTTAAATTATACAAAATATACTATAAATAATGGCTAAAGCTGGGCCTGCATGTCCTCCTTTAATTTTGCAATGAAATGTAGAGAATACAAGTGAATTTTTAATATTTAATTTGAAAAATATATACTTTAATGTAATGTAGTTAGATTTTTAACCCATCGAATAGTAAAACGTTTCGACACCTCTGTTATAAATGGTTTATTGACAGTTGTCTCTGCATATTAAGCACTCATAAATAGCATTAAAAAATTGTATTCATTCAACTTTTTATTGCAAATTTACATTACAACTTTAAAGGTGAGAAAGATGCACACACAGAGAAAACAAAAAACAACAACTTTTTTTGTAATATATTAATTTGATATAAATAGTCCTAAAAAATTAAACAAACGTTGTTTGTTTATTCATTTCGACTGTTTTATCCATAATGACATACAAATGAAAATAATACCTGAGGAAGTGATTAATTCAAGGGGAAATAAAAAATAAATAAATAAAAGTAGTTGTGCTACCGAACTTATTTCAAAAGCATGCTGAAATACTGATATTAATTCTTATGATGATAGTAATGTCTGTATAGATACCTCTTTAAAAAAAAACATTAAAATAAAGTTAATTCTTCTCACTCACACCCCAGAGTTAATGGTGTCAATAAAATGTAATCTGTGAGCGGATCGAGCAACGTTAAAGGATTGCAGTGTGCTTTGCTTTCTCTCTTTTTAATGCAGACACGTTTTCTTTGAGCCTGCTTGCATTCCTAAAGTAGCTCACTGCTGAGGCAAGTGCACACAAATTGATCATTCCCCTTCCTATGGGTCAAGCCTGTAATTGCTTTTTTTTTGCGCTATAATTGCACAAGATTAATGCAGGTAAGGTCCTGTTCTGTTTACAGCGTCTCTGCTCTGATCTAAAAACAGAAAAGGGGGTCGTGCGGATGAACTGGAAAGGTGTAGCAGTGCAGAGCTAGAGAGATAGTTGCGTCTGCTGAGGGGAAAAAAAAAAATCTAAAGAAACTCAATTGCAATTTTATTGTCCAGTGTGATAGATTTCCTGCCAACTCTGGAGTAGGAGAGCTGTTTGTCACTGTAGCTCTCCCTTTCAGCTGCAGGGGCTGGCTGACTGTTTGGGAGAGAGAGAGAGAGAGAGAGAGAGTGCGAGATACATTGTGTGTGAAATAGAAAGTGTGCATGTTTGCATATTAGAGATATGTGAATGTGTGCTTTTCACGTTGTAGTATACAAGATCTCTAGATCCCCATGTTTGAACACATTTAATATTCATCTCAAATGGCCTAGGCAATCATTAGGACAAGTCCTCATAAATTCAACCAGCCTTTTGGGAACTCCTCTGGTAAATAAATACATCCTCTTGGGCAGACATGCATTTAGAGTGTGCAAAATATTCCCCCTCTTTTCTTCACAATTCAATTGTTTTTTCCAGCTCACTATAGAATGCCGTCTTTCGTTGAGTGTGTTATTATAACATGAACATTTCATATTTAAACATATATAGTTCATAATAAATATATATATATATATATATATATATATATATATATTATAGTTCATATATATATATATATATATATATATATACTTACACACACACACACACACACACACACACACATATATATACACTATGTTGTAACGAACTGAAACAAAATCTCTCTATATATGTATATGATTTAAATCAATTGAGTTCATATTTATGTACATGCACGCACACACACACACACACACACACATATATATATATATATAGATTATGTTTTTAAATATGAAGAGTTCAGATGCAAAAGCCTCTAAATGCCATTTGAAATTTTCTTCTTTAATGATGATTTTTGTCGAACTTGTATATTTAAGTTCAGTAATTTCACTTAAATAACAATTAATAGGTAATCTTCATTGCCATTTAAGTGAAATCACTGAACTTAAATATACAAGCTTGATAAAAATGATCATTCTAGAAGAAAATTTCAAATGGCACTTAGAGGCTTTTGCATCTGAACTCTTCATAATTTGAATCAATTGAGTTCATATATATGTACACACACACACACACACACACACACACACACACACATACATGGATACATTATATATTATTATTATTATTATTATCTTAGGAGATGTACATACAGACTTTGGCAAGTGTGCTGTTATCTGACTGTTGCTTGTTTGCGTTTTACCGAGCATGTGTGTATCAAAGGAGATGAAGTTTCCTTTCCAGCCAGCTCATTGTAGGCAGACAGATGTTTCTGCAGATGGGCCTGCTGACACCACAGCTTACCCAAGGTGCCCCTGTCCCAGCACTGCACATAAATGAGACTCAGCTCCACACAGTTACTGAAGGGACAGTTTTCTGTTGGAAGTGATCACCTTGTGGAAGACTTGGTGCCCTTCATGTTTTCCTAGTCAGCACTCTTCTGTTTTACTGTAAGAAACATCTTAATGGGTAAAGGAGACGTTGTAATGGTCCTGAAAAAGTGGCTGCTCCCCTGGAGCCTTTAGTTTCTTCCTAGAATGCCTTGAATGAGAGTCCTGAGACCTCCTCTGGGGCATCACACTATGCTTTTGTGTTTTCCTAGGGAAGGAGTTATACGCATTTAAGATAATGTATTTATTTCTGGAATTTTTGGAGTACAGTACATTATTACAAAACTCTGTGAAGAATAAAGCAATACCCCTAAACATATTGTATTTAAAATAAACAATATTAATAAGGATTCATGAGTGAGGATTGTATGCCTCCTATATTTATATCTCACACCCATTTTTGGCTTCTAGCATTTAAAATATAATATAATATTAAAATATGATATAAAAATTATTGTCTGCTCCTTCTTTTTGATATTACCATGAGTTTATTTACTAAACTACTGTAACTTAACACTAAAATCCTGTTAGCCAACAAGACAATCTCAACTAGTGTTGAGATTCTGGGCCGAATGGGGGTGTTGGAAGAAAAAACCTGCCTAAAAACATAAAGTCTATTCTGTGGTGTCATGAAGTTGCTTATCGTGCTGGACAACAGCAATACTATGGATTTAGAAGACAATGGATTCCAGCATTGGGACTTTGTTTGTAAAGATAGAGGCACACTTCCAGACAGTCTGTATTGAATAAACTCATTGGCCGGCAAGCAAATTGACTTTAGGAAATGGATAGCTTTGACTGTTTAAAGACATTGACATCGATAAACCAATCACTTTCTTGATGTTCATTTTGCATGCTTTTCATACCATCACAAAAGCAAAGTTTAAAGAAGGTGGAAAGGTTTTTTGTTGTAGAAAAATTTTATTTGGTCTTAAAAATGTCAAAGATGACAATCCTTTTCCTTGTAGTATTTTTTGGAAAATAACATTGTTTTAGTTTTTTTTTTTAATTGTTGTTAGAATAAGCAAAGAGTAAAGTAAAAAATAAATGTATAATAAAATCTACGCCTGGATCAAGATAGAATACACACAGTCTTTGTGCATTATGCAGTTTTGCATGTCAGGTGTTTAGAAAAACAAGAGAGTGGTTCTGCTGGTCTGTCTGCCATGAGTCTCTCTCTGTGTACCTTTATTCCTCACTGACTCAATGCAGACAGCTGTGAGAGTATCGAAGGGGGGAAAAGAAAACTAACAGTGTCTTTTGGACAGAAGAGATTCAGTCTGCTGACCACATTGATTTTTGTAGGAATGGAATCGCATTTAGCTAATCCAATTAGAGCATTCTCAGGGTCCCTATTTCCCCTTTGTTTTGCGGTTACTCACTATCTATTGATCTAAATGGGGCTCCCTACTGGCCCAACTGTGAGAGTCTGTAGCCGACTGCTCCCTGCTGATCCAAGATCAGTGACTTTAGCACTGTTATGGTCTGTTGCTGAGCTTGCAGTCTGATTGCTGCAATTTCAGCTGGATCATAACTGTTGATGCTGGATGAATCTTAGATTTAGGTAGTATATGTACATATGTACGTATTTATGTTTTTTTTTAACTCTTTTTTTTTCAAAAGTGCACATTTGATTAAATAGAAATGCAAGTATTGTTTTTTTTTTCTACTCTAGATAATTTTTTTGTAATATTGTAATACTCTATCTTATACTTTAAGGATTTGCACATACAGGTAAAGTACCGATTTTAGTATATAGTAATACAATGAATTATTGATATTTTTAACAGACCACTTGAAAATGGATTTGCATTAAGTTGTAGATTTGGCAACCAGACACCCTGCTCACACAAAGCTCACCGTCACATTATGAAACCTGAACTTTATTCTTAGATGCATTGTAGATTTTTCCATATACCATGTCTAAAGAGCTGACCGGATTTAAATTAGATCAGATTAAAACTGATGTCTGGCCCACCCAGTGGCATACACACTACATTTCAAAACCACATTTCTATAGTTACCCTCTTTCCAGAGTAACTTTATCTCCATGTACCGAATGCCGGTTATAAGGTAAGTAATGCTTTTCACATGACGTAATACTTTATTGGTACGATATGCATTGTAGCAGGCTGCCAGACAATGAGGTGCTTTAGTGTACATATGAAGATTTTTTTTTTTTTTAAACATTTAACTGCATACGGTATACTTACTGATTCTTGAAGATAATACCTAACAGGATAATATGGGGCCTCATGTGCAGCTTTTTAAATCCTTAGTGGTTTACATGAGTTTAACTTAAATTTTTCAAATCCTTAAATGCCTCACAGGCCTTCCAGATAAGTTTGGCTATTTATACCTTGCTTATCCAGCCACAAAGGAGGGCAAGGTTTTTCTGAAAATACAGCGTGTAAATTTAATAGTGAAATGTTAAATTCTGAGTGGAGCCCAAACTAGTGATCTTGCTGTTCAAAAGAAGAGAGTCAGGAGAGAAAGAAAACCAGCAATGCATTTTAAATCTGTCCGTTCCGAGCAAACAGCCATGGATTACCAGTCAGACTACATGGAAGATTAATGGCCAGGCTTGTAGCAGGCTAATTTAGAACAATAACGGCCAATTAATTACGTATAATAAGGCTTTCTTGCCTAAATGCTAATGCCGGCATTGGTATGGAAGCTGCAAGTTGTTTCTCGTTTCCCCAATGGTGTGTTTGACTGTCTATTTGTTGTCTTCTGTTGATATATTGAGGTGTGTGTTGGTGTGTTCAGACTTCTGCTGCATTTCTGCAGATGCTGTGCACTTTCTACTGATAATTACAGTCCTAAACACATATCTCTCTTTTCTGAGTATTTGTTCTACTGGCCTAGTTAGGCTAATATTTCAGATTTTTATATGCCCTATTGACATTTTTACTGCCCTTAAGGGCAGAAGGACAAAGACAAGTTATAAAGTTAGCCTAAATAGTTTAAATGGGTATAGAGAGAATTGAGAATAGAAGTCTACAGCTCACATGTAGTCATTTTTTATAACTTTATCTATTGATTCTAAAGCTTATTTACATTACATTTTATATGTTTATATCAATTTCAACTAAGTGCTTAATAATAATTGATCAGCTAAAATTGTACATGTGTGATGAGCGTATAATTACATAAAATCTAAATCATTCAAAATTATTGTTATAAATAAGTATTGCTATAATCCAGACGATTTAAAAAAATATATAATTTGCTATGTAGTGATAATGTAGTTTAATTCGGGTGCATTTATTGCATCAGACATGTCACTTTGCTCACAGCTGATTGGTTACTTTTTTGTTTGAGATCTCTTACCTGGAACATAACTTGTTTCATGGTGATGAACACTTCTAAAAGCCAAACCACTTTCATGGTGCTTAAAAGCAAATTTATCGCAAACTAATCTGAAACATACTTGGCTTGCCACTCAAACTGGCTTCATGGTATAGACCCCAGGTTACCAAATCAGATTTTCTCTTCCAAAATAGTGAAAAGTGCCTCAAAAATATTTGCAGGCCATGGGAAATGTTCAACTTTGATTGTCACAAGTCTTGCTGTGTGTATTGGTGCATTATCATGCTGATGCATGGCACCCCCTTCAGGGTACGGTGTTTGAACCATTGGTGGAGGTGCACATGATCCTCCAGAATGGTTCGGTAATCCTGATGTGCCCATCAAGCACAGTATGGAAGGGCATGATACTGCCACCCAAACCATCACTGATACACCCACCCTGTGCTTCTCTCTGGTCAAGTCCGGGTGTTAAGCCTCTTTGGGGCTTCTCCACACCGTAACTTCCACGGATGTGTGGAAAGACCGTGAAGACCAGTCCAAGATGTGCACTGTAGGCACCAATGAATCTGATATTTTGGCATCGGCATGAGTGACCTAAGGTTTTGCTATCTCAACCATGAATATTGACTTTCTGGAGTTCCCGTTTTGATTTAACACATTTAATTCTGCAGTGAGTTGGGCAGCTGTGGTTTTATGCTTTTTGGATACAATCTTTGATAGTACCTGGACATACAATTCAGACAGCTTCCTCTTGCGTCAACACTTACTCCTGTTAGATGTGGTCAGCGAGACACACACCAACAATTTGTCCTCGTTTGAACTCTGATATGTTTCCCGTTATGTTGTGTGGATTGAAAATACTAACATGTCTAAGACTTTTGCATAGTACTATACGTATATATACTGTATGTGAAACCTCCAACACTATTGGCCAGTGTTTTAGTTGCATTGTCCCAACTACGGTAATGGTATATTACATTACATTACATTATATTGTCTGAATCTGAATGGAAAGGTAAATATTAATTGATGATAATACATTTTTTTAAAAATGCATCGGTAAGGTATAGATATAAACAGACAAGTCAATGAATTTAAACATCTAAACTTCTTGATTGCTTGATCTTCTAAAGTTCTTGATTGTCGCTAATTTATTTTTAGTTTGTTCTGATGACAATATTCTGTCTGCTGCTCTGCATAATTAACATTCCTCCCAACACTCTTTCGTCAGGTCACCTTTGAGCAACACAAAGATAACCTGGCCCGCATGTTTCTTGAGTACCAGCGTTTGGGTTCTGAGGGAGGATCTGAAAACACAATCAGAACAATCTCTGGTGCCAGTCACGACTCTCAGTTCCTTGCCTCGGCCAATGGTGAGCTGCATGCAGAGGAGACCGCTCCGTCAACTGTAATTGAGCTACGTGTGGAGGAGCAGGTCAACGATCAGCCTAAAGATGATGAGGAGATGCGGACCCAGATCCCTGTCACGGTCTCCAACATTCTGGTCAGAGATGAGGAAGAGAGACAGGCAGCCAGTGTTGCCACCTCAGAGACAGAGGAAGGGAATAAACATGAACAGGACACTCTGAGAGAACCAGGACAGGATACTGAAATTAAAAATTTGGAAGACAATCATAAAATGGAGGCTAACATGGATGAAGAGTCTGAGACAGCAGATCTGAGTGCACAGACTGCAAGTGACAAGGACGCCAAAGGTGAAACTGAAGCTGTGAAGATGTCAAATGAAGATGATAGTAAAACAATCAATACTGAAACTGAACTAAATAATCAAGTAGAAGACAAAGATAAAGGACCTGAGGATTCTTCTCCTGAAGCCAAAGTGGAAGAAATCACTGATGCTTCTTCTGAGGTTTCAGCCTACCAGGAGGATAGCATGGCTGGTTCCTCAGTCATGAACGAAGATAGTCCTGATGTTTCCTCCGTCAGCAACTTCATTAAGGTCAGTGATGACAGCACAGAGGAGTTGTCATTTGTTTCAGCTACTGCTGGTGAGACGGATGACCATGGTGTTGAAAAGGAAGATGATGGAAAGAAGAACGATAACAAACTAGAAACCGAAAAAGACGAGAAGCCAATGGAAAATGAGAAGGCAGAGGAATCCAAAAATACACCGGCTGCCATGGTGGAGGTTGATTTAAACCAAAGCACCTCCACTGATGAAACCAAGCTTCATACGGAGACTACTGAGAGTCATGGTGCTGGTGATGCAGAACAAGCTGCAGAAGTACGTACTTCAGATGTAGCCGACACATCTACGGCAGAGGTTAGCCCTAGCTCTGAGAGTATTTCACAGGATCCAGGAACTAACCAAGACACTCTGAAGTCAGCAGGGACTGAAAGCTCAGCAACTAAAACCAAAGAGATTAAAATTGCCAGACTGGATGTGTCGAGTGTGGCCTCAGACACGGAGAGACTAGAGCTTAAGCACACCTCATCAACAGTAAGGAACTTGACCCAGGTTGATGCTTACAGTTTGATTATATAAAAAAATTAAGATTCTTGTTGGGGTAACAAAATGACTTTTCCAATTGGTTATATAAAACAAATGTTAGAATAATAAATGCCTCTTTTGCAGAACCTGAGCTCAGATCAAGCCGCTGCCACAAGCCCCACAGGTCAGGGCAATGAGGGCTCGTCTTCTGCACGGTCCACCATGTTCCGTATCCCAGAGTTCAAGTGGTCTCATATGCACCAGCGTCTTCTTACCGACCTGCTGTTCTCCATCGAGACAGATGTGCAGATGTGGAGAAGGTAAGAGGAACACCAAGATCACCAAAGATCAAATAGGCAAAGGAATAACATATCTGTTTATAGATATATGAAAAATATTGTTATTAATTATTTATTAAAAACAGTTATTAGAAATCACTTTTTGTGCTATTCGACTGTTGCTGTTTATAGACATTAAGTTAACCTGGACTATTGAATAACACTATCATGCTCTTATTTTGGTAACACTTTATTTCGATAGTCCACATTAGACATTCTACTAACTATAAGTAACTTTTCAACTGCATGTCAATTAACTGTCAGTAGACTGTCAGCTTAATATCTGCTAACACTTTATTTTGTTGGTCCCCCAACAGACATTTAACTGACGATAAGTGACTTGGTGACTACAAGTAAACTTATTCTCCTAACCCAAAGCCTAACACTTAACCATAACCCAACAGTCTACTATGATATACTAATGACAGTTAGTTGACATGTAGTTGAAAAGTTACTTATAATTAGTAGAACATCTAAAGTGACTATCGAAATAAAGTGTAACCCTTATTTTTGGTAACTTTAAGCTTGGGAAAGGTGCTGTTTAAATTCAACTTTTGTGTACACTGTACACACATTTTTATTTGTCATCATTAAGTCAAATATGGTATTGTTTGTAATTATCCTTCTGCTGCCTCAGTAGCAAGTTGTTGCATAACTGATTTTCTCACTTCTCCCCACAGTCATTCGACTAAGACAGTTATGGACTTTGTGAACAGCAGTGAGAATGTGGTATTTGTGCACAACACCATCCATCTCGTTTCTCAGGTTGTGGACAACCTCATCATGGCCTGTGGAGGAATCCTTCCTCTGCTGTCTGCAGCCACCTCCTCTTCGGTTAGTGTGTGTCTGTTTCCCAGAACTCTGTCTACACCTATGTTGCTTTGCGTAAAGGCAAATTGAACCAGTTATAATCAGTGATACTGTGTCTATATGGAAAAATTTGGCCCAACTCCACATGTTAAGTTGCACACAGTAACCTCATGCTTTTTCCGGTGTGGCGTGGTCATGTCCATTGCACTCCCAGTTTAACATTCTTTCCTTGCCTCAACTTATTTCAGTCACACTAAAGAACAGCTAGAATGTTAGGATAATCAAGTTAGTCCGCTGTAACTGTCTAACATGTAAATACTGTTTGACTTTCCTTCTTTCAAGCAGCTTTCTAGCTTTCAAGTTTCAAGCAGCTGTCAGAAACAAAGTTGCATAACACTTTGTACTCTGGAGTGACTGGGGTATTTCTGCTGTTTTTTATGCAGTGGTCAAACAACAAACAAATCACTTGAAAATCGGACTTAATTTCGTCAGATTTTGCCTCAAAATCAACATCAACGTAAACATCTGAGAGTACCATTAACGCATGGCGTGACACACTTTACATACAAATTAACATAGATCTCTTTAGATAGAAAAGAGTGTGCCGACCCTTCTTATTGTTTATCATTTATATTACTTTAATGATGGTGAGTAATTTGATTACAGGTGATGGTAAAGGTGACCATCAGTGCATTATACAGATCTGATAGATGATGAAGGCTGCAGTTAAAGACATGATGATGATGATGGTTACACTGTCTTGCAGCATGAGTTGGAGAATATCGAGCCATCTCACGGTTTGGCTGTGGAGGCATCACTGATGTTCTTGCAGAGGCTGATCAGTCTCGTGGACGTGCTTATCTTCGCCAGTTCACTCAACTTCACTGAAATCGAAGCAGAGAAGAACATGTCTTCTGGAGGAATCCTAAGACAATGCCTACGTTTGGGTAAATCTCTTATTTTGGACTTTTTCTTAAGTCGTGTTGGCTAAAGCCATAAGTATACTTCATTTGTCTGTGTTCCGCTCTAGCTCGCAGACAGTCTGTGCGACGTAATTTTGGTCATCAGCACAATCCACTGATGTCTGCACACATTGTCCACATTGTCTGAAGGGACAGAAACACATTTACAATTTATTTGAGTGTTTGAAAAGAAAGCTCCAATTGGTAGTGTCCCCACTCGCCGTCAATTGAGTATACTTTGAAATGCTTGCACATTAGGAGTGGAGATGGAAGAAACTCAGAAAACAAAGCATATGTTTTATATTAAGGCTTATTAGCTATTGCACATAATTGTGGTTAGGGACTTGAACAATCAGTAAACTTTGCCATGAAACCCGCCCTGCACTGTTTGTTCTACAGACACAGATTTGTTCAAGTTGTGTGGCTTCTTGTGGGGAGGTGTGCTATTACTTTTACAATTGGAGACAGTTGAACAATACCCCAAAGACTTAAAGGGATACTCCACTTTTTTTGGAAATAGGCTCATGAGGCTGTTGAGTTTTACCTTTTTTGAATCCATTCAGCCGATCTCCAGTTCTGGCGGTGCCACTTTTAGCATAGCTTAGCATACATCATTGAAGTGGACAAGACCATTAGCATTTCTCCCAAAAAAATTACCAAAGTGTTTCGATATTTTTCCTATTTAAAACTTGACTTTTCTATACTTACATCGTGCACTAAGACAGATGGAAAATGTAAAGTTGCGATTTTCTAGGCTGATATGCAGGGAACTATACTCTCATTCCTGCGTAATAATCAGGAAACTTCACTGTCGTACCATTAGTGCAGCAGGCGCGATGACTACACAAACTTAGTCCCGGTCACGTTGGAAGCTGGACACTGTTTTCAGGCGCTGCGTCATAACATTACGCCTGCTGCACTCATTGTACAACAGTGAAGTTTCCTGATTATTCTTGTGCTGGTCTTGTTCACTTCAATGATGTATGCTAAGCTATGCTAAAAGTGGTACCGCCTGAACCGGAGATCGGCTGAATGGATTCAAAAAAGGTAAAACTCAACAGTTTAAAGAGCCCCTATCATAGCATTTGAAATGTTCCTGTTTTTGTTTTAGGAGTTCCCAAAAACAGTTTAACGTGCAGGCAAGGTTAAACACTTTATTTGTCTTATAATATGCATTTATTTTTAACTGATTTGCTCACCGACTCCCAAATGATTCGTACGACTCATTTTTCCTAACCACTCCTTTGCGTGAAGCTGCGCTGAGCGTAACTACACACACAGACACAGATACACGCGCACACACATACTGCCTCGCGCCCTGACACAACAAAACCGTTCAAAACCCATAAAAGCAACAATTATTAATAATACTTACAGGTTGTGATTCGAAGGAGGAAGGAGGTAAGTAAGTTACTGAGCCCTCCTTCAGGAACAACCGCTTGCGAATCCACATTTGAATTAATTTATGTTTTTGAACTAACGTTATTCGTCAATAAAATGATGAGAACACAAGGTTCGGGCTATACTGTTGTGGTATCGTTGCAAATATGAACTAACCACCGATTCTTCACATGCTCGTCCCTGGTAAATGAAAACAAAGTGGCTGAACTATCTTTGCATTGTAGAACACAGCGTCTTCTCGACATGATGCTATAATGAAGTATTTGAATGCGTAGACTTCAAGTTTACACTTCCGTCTGTGCGCGCAGTAACTGGGCACGGCCAGTATGTCTCTACGTCACTACGAATCAGCTAATGACTCGTTTTAAAAACAATTCATTTCATAGACTCAGAGTCGACTCTCACTTTTGAAAGACAATAACTTTATATATGGTGCACTTTCAGATATAAATCTTTGCAGGATGTTTTCCTTCCCTTAGAGCTATATTCCACACTACATGAACAGTCATTTTCAAAAATCCATGATAGGGGCTCTTTAACTCTGGGGGAGTTGTAAAATGAGCGTATTTCCCCCCAAAAAAGTGGAGTTTCCCTTTAAATTGAAGGTGGGACCTGAGATGTACATAGGTATATGTATAGGGACTTGAATCAGAAAGTTATCATAACATTCTGAAATATCAAATTCTGTCTTTCTACCTGTTTCTCATTTTCTCTACACTATTATTCCAAAGTTTGGGGTCAGTAAGGTTTTTAAAAGAAAAAAAAATCATTATAAAGGAAAACATTACTTTTATTTAGCAAGGACACATGAAAGTAATTAAACATGACAATTTACACTATTACAAAAAATATTATAGTTTTCAACACTGATTATAAAAAGAAATGTTACTTGAACCAAATCAGGTGCTTTTCCACTGCATGGTACGGTAAGGCTCGGCTCGGTACGGCTCACTTGTGGCGCTTTTCCACTGCATGGTACGGTACGGTTTGGCTAGCTTCGGCTCGCTTTAAATGGTACCTGGTCTGTTGAGGTTCCAAGCGTACCGCACCGGTACTAAAATGTGACGTGAAACACTGCAGATCACTGATTGGTCAGACAGAATCATCACTACCAGCGTCATTGTATTTGTGACCAATAGACATCGACACGAGAAACCAAACCTGCTAGATTTAAATAGCCAGTAACAGCCACCGCTGTTATCGAACAGTCTATAATCCCACCCACTTTAAAGCGGTACTAACTGCAGTGGAAAAGCAACCGAGCTAAAGCGAACCGCTCCGTGTCGAGCCGAGTCGTACCACGCAGTGGAAAAGCGAAGCGAGCCGAACCGTACTGAGCCGTATCGAGCCGTACCAGTGGAAAAAAGCAGTAGAAAAGCGCCAATATTAGAATAATTTCCGAAGGATCACGTGACTCTAAAGACTGGAGTAATGGCTGCTGAAAATGTAGTTTTTAACTATAAAATAAAATAACTTATATTTTAAATGATATTAAAATATCTGATCTCTTTTCTTGCTCTGCTCACTCATGTTTGTTGTTCCTCCTTTTTCATCCCTCCGAAATTTTGAAATAATGTCCTGCCTTTATTATTTTATTTCTCAACCTGTTCTCTTTCTCGTTCTCAGCCTCTTTTCAGTTTTCTCGTTCTTTACTCTTCTCTTAAAATCACCCTCACTGGTTCATGGTAAATCGACTTGCGATTGATTCTAATAGAGTTTGATGTTAGCATGTCAATAAGCTAAACATCTGGAGCGGCTCACTAGGTTTTAGTGCACAGCCCTTTTTGCTCATTGAATTCTCTCTATTGGTTCATTTGGAGTCGAGGAAAAAACGGTCTTTAGCTTCTTCCATCCCCGCCCGTCTGTGTGAGTTCTCTGATAGTGTTATTATAAGCTCTCCACACTGCAGTGCTCTAAAATGGCCATTGACTCTAATGGCTGTTTAGTAGCCCGAGGCACCTCCTTCTTTATGTGTCTATGTATCACAAACTGTACTGCAGCGTTATAGACCACATAACAGAAATCCAGCCGTTCAGATTGATTACATTATTCATCTCTCTCTCACATCGGCTCTCTCTCTCATGGAACCCCGAAACCCACTGAACAAAATGGCCGGTGTCTTAAATCGACTCGACACTGTGCTGCAAAGGCAGGGTGGAGCTTCCTGATTGGTGGAGCGAGAGAGAAACCGAAGCCTGTTTTTAGAAGGGCTAAAGTATAAAATGAATATTTGATGAGGTCTGCCTGTGTGTAATCAGATTTGGGATCTATAACAAGGTTTTGCCCGCCATCTCTCCTTCTATAGCTCTCTTTCTCTCTTTCGCTTGCTCCTTCGTTCAAGTGACTAGAACGTCTAATGGAAAAAGCTGGTTGGTTCGAGCGCTGGAATAATACGTTTAATCTAAGCGTTTTGGAGTTTACATTTGTCAGTTGTCAAGGTATGAGAGGAGAGAGGGTTGAATAGAGTCATGCACAGTCACACACACACATTGTGCAGTACAAACTCAAACTCATGTGCAGTACATTAAAACGAAAACACACACACATACACCATACTGATCTTACATATAGCGTGCAATACATCAAATTAAATGCATTAAGAGGATTTTTCTGCACCATGGTGGTGGGAAGCCGGCCAAAATCTGTTTTGCAAACCTCATACAGTTTCTTTTTTTAACTCTACATGACTGTTATGTCTTGGAGAAGAATTATTAATATATTTTGTTTTTGTATCATTGTTCATTTACTTTTAGTGTTGCTTGTTAAGTAGGGATGCATGATATGTTAGTATCATATTAGTTACCAGCCAATATTAGAGATATTTTAATTTATCTATATAAGTAAATATTGGTTATATATTGGCCAGTATTTAATATTTAATTGTGCATGTTCATTTAGATTACCTTTGCCATTATCTAACACTCTTTGAAAACACTAATAAAATAAACACTAATTTAATAATTTAATAAGACTCTTAAATGTAATCTGTAATTAAAAATGAATATCCGTTTTATATATATATATATATATGAAGAGTTCAGATGCAAAAGCCTCTAAATGCCATTTGAAATTTTCTTCTTTAATGATGATTTTTGTCGAACTTGTATATTTAAGTTCAGTAATTTCACTTAAATAACAATTAATAGGTAATTATCATTGCCATTTAAGTGAAATCACTGAACTTAAATATACAAGTTCGACAAAAATCATCATTAAAGAAGAAAATTTCAAATGGCATTTAGAGGCTTTTGCATCTGAACTCTTCATATATATATATATATATATATATATATATATATATATATATAGTTAGACAAAATAGTTAAAATAATAAAATTATACATTTTAATACCGTCAATTTATCAATTGTCATCCATACTTGAAAGTAATTATTGCTTATTGGTATATTAAATCATTTTAATATCGATGCATCTCTATTGCTATGGAACCATGACTTTCATACTACTATACAGTACGTTTTTGAACAAACCCCTCAACGTGTACTAGCATTCCAAAGTTTAGGGTTGTTACATTTTTTCAAGTATCTTATGCTCACTTATGCATTTATTTGACCAAAAATACAGACAAAAATTGTAATATTATGAAATATTATTACAATTTAAAATACCTGTTTCTATTTTTTATATATTTTAAATGTGATTTATTACTGATGGCAAAGCTAAATTTCCAGCAGCCATTAACCCAACCATCATATGATCCTTCTGAAATCATTCTAAAATGTTTATTTCTTATTACCCATGTTAAAAACAGTTTAATATATGCTTCTTAATATATATTTGTGAAATGTGCAATGCATTTTTTTAGGATTACATGACAAATAGAAAGTTTGAAAAAGTAGCATTTATTTAAAAACATTTTTTGTTACTTTTGATCAATTATTTGTGTTCTTGCTGAATCTAAATTATAATTTCTTAAAAAAAAAAAAAAAAAAAAGATCTTGCTGAACCAAACCTTTGAACACTGGTGTCGTTTATCTCATCCTACACCATTTGTGCTGCAGACATGCATGATACCTAAAATCATGCAGCTTGTTCAGGAGAGGTGTGTACTTTTCTAAGCGATCAGATTTACGCCGATCTTTCAGGTGGACGTTAAAAGATCCCTTAGACTTGCACATTAAAGGAGGAACCCGAGCCATATCTAGCATCTAAAATATAATAGAGATTAGCTTTTTTGACTCTGACAATAAACAACCTTCTTTCAACCACCATGCCGACTCCCTAGAAACCATCCAGAACGCCCAAGCTACTACGTAGCAACGCACAAAACGCTGTTAGTTTCTTAAAAATATACATATTTCTTTGTATACTTGGTAAGGTGGTGGTATTTTTAAGGTCCTTTTCATCATCATGCTATGACCTTCTTATATGTCATGTTTTTTTTAGTCTATATATCTTTTAATTCTGGTAACTTTTCATCTCTGTGAGGTTGTCATTTTCCCTGTATTTCTACCTCTCAGTTGCCGCTCTCTCACAGTCTCTCTCTGTCTGTCCCTCTCTCATACACTCTTTCTCCACCTCAGTGTGTGCGATGGCTGTGAGAAACTGCCTGGAATGTCAGCAGCACACTCTGGGTAAGTCTGGTGCAGAGAGCAGCCGTGGACAGCAAAGCCTTCTGGGAGCCGGCAAGTCTATACCAGCACAGGCAAGTTCAACATCATGCCAAGGATACCTCTTTCTCTCTCTCTACTGTCCAGATGGTAATTTTAAATAGGTTTGATTCTTACAGTTCCAGTAAAAAAAAAACAAAAAAAAAAAAAAAAAAAAACTACACTCCACACTCACAGCTCATCTATTATTTAGAATCTTTCCAAAACTGTTGCATTAATTCCCCGTTGCATCAGTGCTGTCTAAATGTGGAACAGCAAAACAAAAGACTCCCTATTTTTATAAAATCTAACTGATATAAAATATTAGAGCAGTGGGAAAATGGATTTGTGCTTAACTGACAGTAGGGCTGGCTATCGATTTTGATTCTTTTTAGGCACCGACCGAATTACCTCGATACCATCGAATATCAAACAAGATGTCTTGTCATTTGGTACCATTTTTCGATACGTCAGGGGTTAATCTTGTCAACGTCAGTGAAACACTATGCATGTAGCATAGGCCATTTATTGACAATCATCACATCACAGAAGAAGGTCTTGATGACCTGTCAAAATAAAAGTTTTGGATTAACTTAAAGAAACTGCAATAGAAATATATTACACTTGTACAATAATGTTCATCTTAATGTAATACTACTACTACTACTACTAATAATAATAATACAAATATTATTAAAAAAAAATTCCATGTTATATAATTTTAATAGTAAACCTCTGTTGTGTAGCACTTGTTTTGCCAACAAATTAAAGAGCTTGTTTCATTTTAATTAATAAAAGTTAAAATAATGTTTTATGCCTTCATTTGATTACCAGAAAAATAAATAAATTACATAAACTCACAATTAAATGAATTATTATGAATTCAATTAATTAGATTTTTTTTTTTTTTTGGAATATAGACAAAATTAAACAGAAAGCACATCACTGGGTAAAAAAAAAAAAAGTTAAATAGAATTTGAAAAAAATATACTTGTATGAAACATCTGTTAAACCGCTAATAAATTGCTGTTAAATTGAACACATTTCATGATTTAAATTAATTAAACATTAAACTAGGCTTCTTGTAAAGTGTGCTTATCCTTAATGTTTGCTGCATTAACAGTTTACAGTTCAGTTCTTGTTTTTTTCCCTCTTCACATTAATGTTACAGCATCTGCTATAACATTATCGTTTAGAAACCGGTATCGAAGTCATGGTTTGTCAATTTTGAACAATACCCAGCTCTCGCTGACAGACTGAAAGAGACTGTGTGAACTGAGTTTGTGTGTGTTACAGAGTCCTGTGGACATTGTGACAGGAGGGATGTCTCCTATCAGTGATTTAGACCGTCTTCTGCAGGACATGGACATCAATCGTCTCCGTGCTGTTGTGTTCAGAGACATAGTGAGTCTCTTCAGTCAATACTTATCTTCAACATCTCTTCCATTCAGCTAATGCTTCATTTTTGCTAATGCTTTCATGCTTTGCTAGTTTAGCTAATTTATAAAATATTCTAAATGAATTGTTTTGCTGTGTGTTTTGCCGTTTAGGAGGACAGTAAACAGGCTCAGTTCTTGGCCCTAGCAGTGGTCTACTTCATTTCTGTACTTATGGTATCCAAATATCGAGATATACTGGAGCCACACAATGACAAAAGAAACGCCCAGCGCTCACAGTCTATCAGGAGCACAGGTGAACCCACACACATCACTGCTGCAAGATTAAACCCAGAGAACTGTGTTCAAAACTGTGTTTTGAGGAGTGGACTAGTGTGTTTTTATTGTTTATTTCAGAGAGTGTTCAGTCTGATCTGGAGAACGGTTTGTCTCCTCACCGCCGAGACTCTAGCACTGAGGGTGAGAAGACTTCAGCCATCCCCAGTGATGCTGAGACACGAACTGGCCCGGACGCTGTATCTGAAGCCTTGTCTACTTTGTCCTCAGAAGTCAGGAGAGGCTCTGAGGTCACAAACAGAGACAGCAAAGGAAAAAACGTTAATGTCAAGGATATTTTGAGAAGTCTCGTTAGCGCACCCTCTGGCGACATCATGGTGGACCCCAGCCTTATACCGCCTGGGTTTCTGGCTGCAGTTGGTGATGCCTCCCGTGACCCGTCCGTCCAGTTCCACTCCTTTGACAGGTGAGTGACTATCAGAATGAATGTTCACTGGCCAATCTGTGCAAACTAATGTAAATGCATTGCTATACACTGATTTCACACAGTCGTCATTTTGAAATGGCTCCGGTGGGAAGAAAACCGGAAGTGTCACTTTAAATCATAGGAGAGTCGCAAATGCGATGGGGTTTTGTTGTGTTTAATGTAGAAATTTGTTATTCTAAAAATGTACATCCATTTATTTCATAGTTTAGACTATAAACAGTGAAATTTATAAAGTTATAAATGCATTTTTTAAATATATGAAGAGTTCAGATGCAAAAGCCTCTAAGTGCCATTTGAAATGTTCTCCTAGAATGATCATTTTTATCAAGCTTGTATATTTAAGTTCAGTAATTTCACTTAGATGACAATTTCATTGCAATTTAAGTGAAATTACTGAACTTAAATATACAGGCTTGATAAAAATGATCATTCTAGGAGAAAATTTCAAATGCCACTTGAAAATGAAAATGAATTCAAATGAACTCTTCATATATTCAAAACATAAAAAAAGAATTAGAAACAAACTATATACATATCCTATAATGGATATTAACATCTAATAGTTTAAATCGCGACAGCAGCTTCCGGTTGGTTGTCCAAGACATTGTTGTCTATCCGTACTTCCAGGATTCTTCCCACAAGAGCCTCGCTTTCGATTTCAAAATGGCAGCTGCATGAAATCAGCATATAGGCACAAAATCTTATTATTATTTATTTTATATCTGTTATTCTTTGTCCACACATTTTGTTCTGCGTTCATGTAAAAAAAAAAAAAAAAAAAAAATCATTTTCTCTCAGAGTGTGCTATTGCAGCAGTCTATGTGTATTTTATGATGGACAGCCTCATTGAGTGTCTGAATTCTGCTGTGAAAGTGTGCCGATTTACACACAAACAGACAACCTTACAAGAAGACCCATCAAAACGGGCCTCAGGAGACGCATACACATCCACTTGTCCATTCCTCCACCAGTGGATTTGTGTCTATGTTAGGGCAGATATGGTTATTGTTAAAAACAACAACAACAGAAACACTACAGTTATGCTACTGTTTGTCTCATATCTAAAGAGACAGAATTGAATTGTATTCTCTCTCTCTCTCTTTTAATATTATGACTTTCAGTTCTCTCAACGGTTCTGAAACTTTTATATTATATATAATATTTGAGCTAAATCTACAGTGAACATAAAACATGAGCAGTGTAGTCAGAGTAGATTTTCAAATTACCCAGCCATCTGTCCCGGAATAGTCTAGGGGAAATCGGAAAACCTTTAAGAGGCGTAATAAATAATGTTGGGTTGTGGTATGGAATCCCAGCGACGAAACACTCCGGTTGATAATCAAACAAATTACGCAAAATTAAGCAGAAAAGATAATACGTTTATTTAAGGAATAACAAGTGAAATAAAGAGCATATCTTTAGGGTGTCCCAAAGACCAAAATAACAAACAAAACAAATATACAAAGAAAAGAGTGAAGAATAAGTAACCTAAACCAAGAAGAAAAGAAATTACATTTAGCTTTCCTAACTCCCTACCAAAGAAACAGAGCTCAAACTAGTTTCAAAATAAACAAGCCAGGACACCCCAATCCTCCACACTTTGAAGAGATGTGTTGTTACTTGTTAGACATACAGAAGATACTGTAGGTTCAGATGTTACTCCCTGGATGCTCTTAAATAAAGATAACATCACTAAATTTGATCATCGGCCATTCCTTAGCTCTCAACCCGAGTATGACCGAACCAATAATGAGCTCCTTCGATGATAAAGACCACGCCCTTAATGGACAACCAATGGCGTTCATACACCCCATCATTGGGCAACCTATTAAAAATCAGACAAACGATAGTCTACATAAACAACTCCAGTCTTCAGTGTCACGTGATACTTTCAAATCAGTCTAATATGCTGATTTACTGCTCTAGAAACGTAGATAACTGTTACTATCACTTTTCAATTTCAATTTAACGAATTCTTGCTAAATATAAGTATTAATTTCTTTAAAAAGAATATCTCGCACCAAAATTTTGACTGGTAGTGTATGTAAGTGGTATATAAGTTTCTTCCTTTGCATCTCTTGTCTGTTTTTTAAAGAGTTTAGTGTAACTGCTGCTCCATGGGGAGGGTGGGGTGCTTTGGGAAACCAGATCCATTGCTATGTGTTGGCGGACGTCTGCAGTGTCTGGTTTTTATTTGCTGCATTGTCTGTGTGTAAGACTGACATAACCAGAGAGGGTTTATTAAAAAAAAAAGGAGAGACTGAAGAAATAAAAAAGGGAGATTTGGCTTTTGTGTTGGAAATAGAAAGGAGTATGCCGCCTTGCCATCTTCTTTCTGTTTACCTCCTACTCTCTCACATCTCTTCTCCTTTCTTTTTCCTCTGGGCATCTGTGAGACATCCCTCTGATCTGGCCTTGTGTTTTATCTGAGGAATGCTCTGTCAGGTATCACAGCTCTGCTGGTATCAGGACAGGGATTATGCTGGCTCCCGCAGAGAATGAGCTCAAAGCTCCCAGCTTTCACTGGAGCTCGCTTCTGCCACCACCTTTGAGAAATAAAGACAACTTGGTCCTCCATCAGGTCTTTGGTTAAACCAAGTCCTGTTCACAACAACACAAATGTTTGGCACGAAATTTCAGTCTAATTTCTGAATGCGGTTTGTCTGTTTAGACCAATGGGCTGAATGGAAATGAGATTCACTCTCTGTGACGGTAGGGGTGAATATACTGTACACTACCAGTCAAAAGTTTTAGATCGGTAAGATTTTTCATATTCTGAGTCCTTCTGCTTGTCTGTGAGTTTGGTCTTTTATGTAACTGTATTAGTCCAGCAGGGGAATCCTGAAGTATTGAGAGAAACCCTAGTACTGCATGCAGCAAGTCGCCGCGATATAAAGTCAAGGCAACTAAACAACCAAGAGAAATACATCTTTACCTTAAATGTAACATTGTATCTGTACATCCGGGGGAATAACATTATAATCTCGTTCACGGTAGAGAAAGATGCATGTACACGGTTACACAGTAACCGTGAAGACATTAAATTGAACAAAACAGCATAATAATGATGCTCTAACTGTTGCTCTGATCTTCGTCAACATCACGCGCTTGCGCTCCCTGCTGGTGAGGTCGACTAACCGCAGATGGAGATTGTGCTCGGTAATCTACTGCTTTTCCTGCAGTTTCTGGATGTCGGTGTTGGATTTATTGTCGAATTTGAACCCCTGAATTTGTGGAAGCGAATTTGCAAAGCGAAATAAAATGGACTAAAAATTGCCTGTTGAATATTATAGGTTGTATTTTTAAACAGTTTGAATATTTTGGAAGTGAAATATGAAAGGTGAATATGGATTATTGTATTTTTTAATAAGGAAAATGTGTTCGAAATGTTTTAAATTGAAATATTTACAGTTTAAATATTCAACCATGCTGAATTTCAGCCCATTAAAATGCAAGCCCTAAAAATGCAATACATTCAAACGCAAGATTGTTTTTTTTTCCAAGTAGTGCAATTAAACAGCCCTTTTGTTTCAAAAACATTTTATTTTACTTCCATAAATATAGGCATGCAGTTGTTGTTGACATACCAAAAGTTGTATTTCTGCTTGTCACAAAGAAGAAATTCGTACATTATTCACATTTTCAAACAACCATCCAGATTTTGGGATTTGCTGGTGTTTATGGTTTATTGTACACTGTAAAAAAAAACAATATATATATATATATAAAAAATTACATTTTGTTTCTTTTTAGCATGTTTTTTGTTTTGTTTAACTTAAAATTTTGTCTATTCTAATAAATTGGAAAAACACAATAAATTAAGTTTACTTGACTAAAATAAAATAAAAAACCCCGCTATTTACTGGCGCTTAGTCATACTTTTATCTTACAGTAGCATCTCTGAACATGTGACCAAAAGTGTCAATCTTATTGGCGGGTCAGTTCTATCGTAGTGCGATGGAAAATAAATTGGAAAACCTCTCTGTAAAAAGAAATTCTGTAATATTAATGGAATGTAAATGGATGCATTAACATCCATTGATTCAGATTAAAATGTTATACCAAATGGAGCTATAGCTTTAAATAAATCTATTCTCTTTAAAGAGTAACTAAACACTTAACCAACTTTTTTTAGTTAATGATCTGTAAGAATGGATCTTTATTAATACCAGTCATTGATTCGAGTAACTTTTTTGGCATTTGTTTATAAAGTGTTCTATTTCTACAATATATGGTGTAAAAACGTCTTAGTGCTGCCCTCTTCAGGTTGAACGGTGGCTACTGCAGTTAAATTTTCCTATTGGATGTTTGCGGTAGTACGTGACACAGCGGTTGTTGGTGACGTAGGCAAGTTCCATACAAAGAGATGTGTCCCACTGGGCTCTGCCCACTTTTCCAGCATTTTTCAAATATTGCCAGTGGGTGGAGTCAGGCTCTGACCAGGGGTTTAGTTACCCTTTAAATAGTACTAAAATGAAAAATTACATTTTACAAATATTTAAATGAATTTTATTTAATTGAATGTGAATGTGTAATAATTTAAATGACACATTTTTTGTTCACATATGTAACTAAGTTTTTAGATAAGTTATTAAATCTGTGTTTTAAATGGAGTATGTCACATAGGACATGCCAACTTCCTATTTTCGAGTGTTTAGTTCATCTTTTTAAATTCCGTTGCAGCATACAAGCATAAAACAATCCCATACAAACAATACCAACATATAAAACACATAAGATCTTCACACACAAAGAAAAGAATGAAAACCAGAGGGGAGGAGGTGAAGCTCATGGTGCATGGGGTGAGAATCATCTAACAATATACTCTGGGCTTTTCCCAACACCTGCCTTTGATCCAACTGGGCCATACTCATCTACTTCTTCCCAGTTATTTTACTCCAGAGTGCAAGGGAAAGGCTTATCTCCTCTTAGGATTCCCCCCAGCGGAGAGGTGCCGAGTTATCTGGATGACTCCAGAT